CTAAGTCATTTTTTCCTCTTTATTTTTGTGTTTTGCAAAACAAATAATTTTTGCTTGACATTTTGATGATGTTGTGTGATCAATGTTGTTGCCTTGCGTTTGTAAAGGGTGCTTATTTTAAAATTGTGCTTTTCAAGTGGAAATAAAGTGCATCTAAGTTAATGTTATGGCCAAGAATTTAGCTTTTTTTATTAAGATCGTTGATTTCGGTCGGGAAAGTAACCGCTTCGAATCAATTCCAACCACAGAAATTGGAATTTTCGACCACTTTTTGCTGTATGTCAGCAATAATGTGTCGAATATTCTCTTCAAAAGCGTCAATCGCCTCGGTCTTATCTGCATAGACAAGAGACTACTTCACATAACCCCCAAAAACTAGTCCAACGGTGGTAAGTTGCACGATTTTTGAGCCACGACGCGAGATAATGCGTTAACCAAAAGTTTCATGATATATATTGATTGTTTCGTTGGCTGTATGACATGTAACGCCGTCGTGTTGGCACGAAAAATCCATTAATACTGACTCCATAGAATTCCCCATTGACTGTAACGTTATTGCCAGCTTCATTTTTGAAGAAACCCATGAGCCAATGATGTCTGCTGTACCCATAGAGCACACAAAACAGTGACTTTTCATGGATTTAAGAGCGTCAACGGCGTCTTTTGGATTATCATCACTCCAATTGTGGCAATTTTGTGTATTAACCAAACAAAAATTAGCTTCATCGCTGTACAAAATTTTCTTGCAAAAATCGGCATCGGTAGCCAACTCGTTTTGGGTGCATTCACCGAATGGGCGACGTGCTTGTTGGTGGTTCGGCTTTAATTCTCGCAGACGTTGCATTTTGTAAACCCGAAAACCAAGATCTTTCTGTCAAGCCTTCCAAGCCAAGGACAAACCACACTGCGTATAAATCATGCAGCAGCTATCAAAACGGCCAACTCCGAAAATAGGTTTTTCTCACTTAAAACCACACGTCCAAAACAAACACCCTTTACATTTTATTTTTTCTACTCACTCACTCTCTTTGTTGTTTTTGGTTAAAAAAAAAAAAATTATTTTGTAAAAAAAAACGCAAAATTTTGTCTATAAAGTATGAAAGAATTTTACAATATTGCTTGTCACAACAACAGCGGTGGTGTGTGTATGTGTGCGTGTGTGCGTATGTGCGTATGTGCATGCAATCAAAAATGTGTGTCAAAACTATTTCGCTTGACGTCCGTGTGTGCCGGAGAGATATTCTCGCAGTAATAATTTTTCTTTTTCATGGCAAAAGAAATGTAAATGTCACCCATACATACATACATACATACGTGTAGTCAAACCGCAATTACTTTCGTGTGTGCGTGGGTTTAATCATAAAGAATCTTGTAAGCAATTTCTCTACTATTTTTAGTCTCTTTGCTAGTGGTACACCCACTGAGAGTGAAGAAAATTTCTTTTTATTAAAAATAAAAAATCTGTAATCAAAATTAAAATAATTGCGCCAATCGAAAGCAATTGAGGGTTGCTTGGCCAAGGTTCGCCTTCAATTTGACTGTCGTAGGCATCGCTGCTCATCTTCTATGCCTCCGCACCATACAACAGGACGGAAATGATAAGCGACATGTGAGGATTGATCTCTATTTCTCGAGAGAGGACTTTACTTTTCAATTGCCTACCCAGTCCGAAGTAGCATCTGTTGGCTAGAGTGATTCGGCGTTGGATTTCGAGTCTGACACAGTTTGTGACAGTGACTTGGTAGTCGAGTCGCGATTACGTTGACTGTCTGTTTTTTAAGGACAGCAGATATTTCGTTTTGCCCCCGTTTTGACCCATCAGTTTCGCTTCCTTATCCAGTCGGGAGAAAGCAGAACTCACGACGCAGTTGTTGTCAATATCATGGATGTACACCAGTAGTTGTATTATTTTCTCCAGCTATAAACTAAAAAGTCACACGATCAGGAATCACCTTGTCTGGAGCCTCGTATGGTATCGAACGGCTCGGAGGCGTCCTTCCCGAACCGGTCAGAGCTTTTAGTGTTTTTGCTTTTGCTCCTTACTGTGCACTATGTTGCCAAAGGCGCTTTTTTAAAACGACGAAGTGGTGGTATGGGTCGATTATGGGTATTTTCGCAGAATGGTCGCATAGTGAATATCTAGCCACTTTCACACAAAACGTTGAATAGCACCTTATATGCGGTATTAAGGAGGCTTATCCCACACAGAGCACACTTGCGTCCAATCTTCGGGCATGCATTCATCCGAAAATATTTTGCAAGTTCTTCAGCGCTGTATTTGAATAGCTCGATCGGTAAACCAACGATCCAAGCAGCGGAGTCTGCTTTGTTGTTATTCAAGCGTCTGATTGCTATTAAAACTTCTTCCCCTTCGAATTCGCTATCTCTCTACAAGATAGTGGTCGGAGTCGATGTTGGGCCCTCGGAGTGAACGCCCGCAAAATTTCAACGCCTATGTAGAATTGAGGGATCTTAAATCTACAACTGCTTAAATTTTTTAATAAAAAGAGGGTGATTGGAGAATTGATATATGTGACCTATTTTATTAATTCATTAATTTTTAACAAATATATTTTTTATGCTTCATTATTTAAATAAAATTTTTTTTTACAAAATTTATATGAATCGCAGTAAGTACTCTTGTGCTTTTTTATTTATATTTTTTTTTTGTTACAATTTTTTTATTTTGTTATTATTATTTTTTATTTTTGTTATTTTTTTGCCCTTTTTTCGCCTTCATTCACTACACCTGTTATAATAAATCAATTTTCAACCAAGTGATTGAATGAAAAAAATCGCTCAATTTTGCATGTTTATTTAATATGTAGTGAGTTTGTTTTACTAAGTAATAAACGTGCATATATGCCAAATTGTTGTAGTGGTTGTAAGATAAAGTTGAACAGCATTTTTTTGTATTGTCTCCAATTCATTACAACATTTCAACTGCACAGCTGGTGCCGCCCTTTCTTATCTTTATTATACTACATACAATTTTAAACAGCGAACAGTTGTTGCTGGTGTCGCTTCATTAACTGAACCAGCTTTCAGTGTACAATGTACAATACAAAGATAAATAAGTACAAGTTTTCTATTTTCACAAATAAATATTTAGTATATTTAGCATGCTTAGTACAATACAATCAACAATCGGTACTCGAATTTTCGATAACACAATTCTTATCGACACAGTTTGCTGGCATTTAAACAGTTACGCTGACGTGTGACAACAAATTCGTTCGCTCACAATGAGAATGCAAAAGTCTTCGCACCGGTTGATCAGTACTTTTACCTAAAGTTATTGATTTATTGTATTATAAAAAATGCTCAAAATCGGTTGTATTGTTAATACTACGTACTTACGTATATGTGTGTACAGACATACATACATATTTTGACAAATTGTGTGCAATGTAATCACAACAACGAGTACGATCATGTTGTGTAAGTTAAAACATGATGTCGAACCCAATTGGGAACAGCCCTAATATCCCCGCTACCTGCCTAACAAAGTTATCATAACAACAAATTATGACAGCATAGCAACATCAATGCAAGAGTTTGATATGCACCAAAAAAAACTACCGTGGTCACTGCTTGGCATAGCGGCAGCATGTTAGGCAGGCAGCTCAAAAGACAACAACACCCACTGCATAGCAATTCCCGGTAGGCAAGACAGCGGTACTACTTGGTGCTTGGTACGGTATCACCTGATTTAAATACAACAGCACAATTGTGATGCTAGCAGCGCAGTCCAAGCGACCTTTTTCACGCAACAACATTTTGCAGGCGATTACCACCGATCGCGAGGGTATTTAAGGGAGTGTCACTACCTGATCAAGAGGATTGTAAGGTCAACTGTAGCCAACTAAAGATTAAATTAATAAATAAAAGTAAAAAGTAGAAAAAAGTGTTTTATTATTTTAAATAAGCAAAACAACTTGCTTAACTTGTACGATTCCTATTCGCTAATCTCAAGTGCTAATTAGTTTATTGCATTTTAATTGTTTTGTTTGCCAATGTGTGCTGTTTATATGCTGATAAATGTGCTTGCATGCATATATGCAATGGATTTTATTTATTTTTATCATATTGACTTAAGAGTCTTTTATGATTTGTGTTAAATAAAATAAAAAAATTGAATAATAAAATTGGAATAAACAAATAAATTTGCTGCTCTGAAAAAAATTTGTATTTCGCTCCTCAAAAAATATATTAAATTCACAAACTACAATCAAAGTGCGCTAAATAATATAAAATGTTTATATTTTCTTTATGCGTGTGTGTTTGTGTGTATTTATTTATGTGTACAGCGTATTTACACACATATTAGCTGTGTGCAAATTGAATTAAATAAAATCAAAAAATAATAATAATAGTAAATAATGTTGCTGAAAATCGTAACAAATTTCGTTTGCGGTGAATTGAAGAAAGTCAAAACAAATTTGACTATGTTCTTGATCTTCTTCTGGGTTATTTGGTTTTCGCAGTTGATTGCCATCTCGACAATGATACTCAGGTAATTTTTCTTTGTTATTGCATGTAAGTGTTAATAAAGATAATAATAACAACCACATGGAATGAAAAAGATTAATGTTAATTTATGACATTATGAGAAAAATTGTTGCTTCTATTTGTAAATAAATAAATATATATTAATTTTTAAGTAATGGTTTTTTAATAAGTTAATAAATATAATAAAAAATTCATAAAATTAAATAAAAAAATAAAATAATAATTTCCTTAAAAAAAAAATTTTGGTAGAAATTAAGTAAACACGGTTTCAAAAATTAAAAAAATTATAATTAACATTACTCAGTTAAATGGATTTGTATTTTTGTAAAGGAAAATGATTCATACAAATTTTTACACATTTCAAAGTCTCCACCTGATTCATAAAACACTATTTTTTTACCATAAATGCGATAAATATTCCTTCTAAATTGCAATATATCTTCTAAAATTATTTAATTTGTATTTTTTTCTAATCCTTCTCTTTGCAGCTTGCCTGATATCACCGAGATCCCAACAATAACGGTGACAGAATTGCCATTGGAAATTTTAGAACCAACACGTGGCAATATTGATGCTTTAATCATTGACGCCGCAAAGGAAACCATTGCGAGAGAACATGAAAATCATACTTTGGAAATGTTGGAAAGTGGCAGTGAGGTGATAAGAAAAGGTAAGTCCACCGCTTGCAGAGTCCAAGGGTCATGCTCTACAAAAGTAAAACTCAATTCAATTCAATAGTTTTACCAAACACCAGCCATTCCTGAATCTGAGCACATCGAAGTACATCGGTTTCGTCTGTGGGTCTTCTACTCATTGAAAACCCGAAATTTTCTTATGCCATGATGGCATCAGCAGAGGTTCTGCCCATGATCCAAGATTATCTTCAGTCATAACTTGTATGCTTTTAATTTTAACCCCAGGCAATAAAATATGTTCCTTTTCTCCGACTGTGAGACTCCTATTTATGTTGTTTAAAGCTACACTTTTCGGAATTTTCTCATTCGGCATGTCATGATCAGATTAAAAAAATCCGAGTAGTTTGGACCTTCAATGCTTGGCTGAAGTAACATAAAGTTCAAACATCATATTAAATGACTCCTCAGTTCTGTTCCCTTATTATAATAATAAAGACATTCGAGATGCTCAGTTCCTCTATAAAAACCCCAATCTCGATCTACAGCTCACGGTATGTCTTCCACCGTAACATCGTTTCAGTATTTGAAGTCTTCTCCGCTCCGTTAGACTTATAGTACCAGCTCGCCTTTGACCTTGTCGATAGCCTCTGTTTGTAGTTAGCAGGGCGCTTGGGGGATCTCAGTGTAGGAGCGCATATAAAACTTAAAATCGATTGGCTTTTGTAATAACGAGATTAGGCCTCGATATCGAACCTTCCTTGTCTTTTGCTGAGTGCACTTGTCTTTTGCTGAGAACACTGGAGCCTATAACTTGATGAATTTCGCTGGTATTTGGAACTCCGTTTCAGGTACTCGTACATCTTTTGATATATCGTCTTTCTCGTCAGTGGGGGCATCGGTAAGACATTAGCGATATATACGATAGCACTCGGCGACGACTCTCCAATCACACATCAATCCAACACCAACCTTCTTGATATGGACGCTGTAGTATATGTCCCAATGACCTACTTTCTACCATCCTTATACCGTTCATCACGTGTGTTGTTGCAGCTGTTCGTTAACCCGGCATCATATAACGGAAGGTCCAGAAAACGAATTGGTTCGCTAGATTCGGACTAGATGGAAAGAGGAGATAGGTTATTAGGTTTTTAGGGGGCATGCAAAGGCATGGTTGGTGTCGTGGAGTCTCATTACACGCGGAAGATACATATGTGGAGCAAGCCAACTCCCGCCCGCAGTCACATCTAAGTTAATAACAAAGGTTCTGTCTTAAACTCCTTCTCTTTGTACTGTACCCCAAGGCTCAACACGAGTTGGTTACGTTTCCACATCCCCGAAGAGCACGCAAGAGTAGAGATTGACTATTGTTTTGCACCTGTACAGCTTCCCAGAAGCAAGACTATAATTCTCATTTCATCCTTGGAAGTCGGCAATTCTTATTTGGGATTGAGAAATACAAAAACACAATGGTTCCGTACCTTCATCAAATTTGAACGCAGACACATGTTGACATCTTCCTATTGTGAACCGTTACGAGCGAAGATCTTTGAGCGATGCGTAGGCTCTCCTCGATTCGCGCACTCACCGCAAGATGAGTGAACTGCAATAGAAAACAATAAAATCAGCTTTCCACCACAAAACCTAATTAAATGTTTACTCTTCCAATTGAGTTATTGCAAGAACATTTTTCGCATTCTTTTCAGATGAAGAAATCATAAAATTTGACGACTCTGGCGGCGCTGAAAAGATGCAGCCTACGCAGCAAACGGACGCAGATCTCACTTCAAATGAAATTCCACATAACATTCCAACGGTCAATGCAACTAAAGCGGCAATATCACCAACGCCAGCGACACCAACACCAGCAACAGCAACAGGAACACCAAATGAGAACGAGAGCCAAGCAACTGCCAGCACCGCACCGCCCACGGAAGAACCCACAACCGGTGATGACAATACGGCGAACACTGTAAATCTCACCGTCGAAGAGGTGCCAATACCGGTCTTCTCTGAGTGGGCGCAAAAGCAAATGGAAGAGGCTGAGAAGCAACAAGCAAAAGAACAAGAGGAGGTGAACACATCCACGCAGAAGAAGAACCTCACCAATGGCGATGGTAAGCGTGCGGCACCACTTAAAATGCGCAACAAAAACTATGCATCACCCGATTGTGGCGCCAAAATTATCGCCTCCAATGCAGATGCGAGCAACACGGGCGCAGTGTTGAGCTCCTCCAAGGACGAGTACATGTTGAGTCCGTGTGGCAACCGTATCTGGTTTGTCGTCGAACTCTGCGAAGCGATACAGGCGCAAAAAGTTGAGTTGGCCAATTTTGAATTGTTCTCTTCGTCACCGAAAAATTTCACTGTAGCCGTCTCAAATCGTTTCCCCACGCGCGATTGGTCCAACGTGGGACGTTTCATAGCAGAGGATAAACGTAGTGTACAGAGCTTCGATTTACATCCACATCTATTTGGTAAATTTGTACGCGTCGATATACATTCGCATTACTCCAAGGAGCATTTCTGTCCCGTTTCACTTTTTCGTGTCTTCGGCACATCTGAATTTGAGGCATTCGAAACAGAGAACGCGCCTCATAACGACTTGGAAGACTTTGACGACGATTTCGTGCAGGAGCAAGTGCTTTCCAAGAGTGCTGATACAAATCTCTTCAAATCGGCCTCCGATGCAGTGCTCTCAATGGTAAAAAAAGCCGCCGAAGTGCTTGTCAAACCAGTACACCAACAAAATACGACCCAACCTCGCGCCTCCACTCCCACACCAAAGTGCCGTACGCCCGTAGCAGGCCAATACAGCTGCCACGACTGCAACCAACCGCTGGTGGCTCGTATAAATAATGCGCTCTCGTGCGAATACGAACAACTGCAAGTCTTGCTCAAAGTGCCATGGCTGAAGAAAGATCTACTGCGAACGCGAATTTGTGCCAATGATTATGGCATTGAACTGAAAGAAAGAGTCGCCATCATCGAAGATTACACTCAAAAGCAGATGGACGTGAAACGCAGCTACTATCTGAACTTGCTACCACCAGAATATGTGGGTGCACTATGCCAACTGCTGGCCACGCAAGAAAAAGCCGCAGCAATCAAAACCACAACGCAAAACTCGCGTGCGGAAAATATGCCTACGGAACCACCTTTGAATCTGACCATCGAAAAAAAATTGAAAAAGGACGACCTCAGAATAATCGATGGCATGCAAAGAAAACTCGTCACGCCAGAGACAATAACGAAAACGGCTACTGAAAGCGCAGAAACAAAGTTAAATGGTGAAGGTGTGCAACCCACACCATCAACTACCATCAGCAATGGCGAAGGGGGCATAGTGGAAGATGAGCAGCTTGTACGTCCGCCACGAGCGCACGCAGATACCGCAACAGATGCCACCACACAAGCACCTGCTGGCGGTAGCAACGAACCCATGCCCGATGTAAATATATTCAATGTACCTGCACATACCTTGGAGCAAGAAGAAAAACATACGCCAACCAGTGAAACAACCGAGAGCAGCCACAACGTGGAGTTAAGTAGTGGCGAACACAGTGGCGACAGCGACAAAGCTGCCAGCACAACGTCTATACCGCCAGCTGCCAGTGCAGGTGTGCGGCGTGCACCAGCCGAAGCAGTAAACAACGACAACGCATCACCCTCGCAGCCGACACTCACAACAACTACCGCCACGACGACACCACCACCACCTCCGGGCACACGCAGTGAAGAGGATGCGGCTTCGTGGGAAAATATCGATAATCTAATCACTTCTACGACAGCAGCACCAGTTGTCGGTGATCCGAATGTCCCGACCGCTCAGCCTGGCGTTAATCTACAGCAGAAAATACCGAGCGGTCCACAGTCGGAGAGTGTGTTTATACGGCTTTCCAATCGCATTAAGGTGAGTAACCAGCGAAATTTCGTTTCTAATTTGTTCTCTTCCAAAACTATTTTCCTTCCGCCAACAGACAGCTCTAAGTGTTAGAATCGGGTAGAGCTTCCTACCTACCAAGGTATACCAATCAGATATCAGCCAGCCATAAGCCCCACAAGAGCTGCTTTATTTAATATTCTGCGGCTTGCTTACAGCTCTCTTCAGGTCCATCTACTAGACCACAATTGGAAAGGGAGACGCAAACTGCTTCAGCTGACATGCTGAGATGAGTCTTCTATGAACAACATTGTCACAATAAGTACCGAGCCTTCATAGGTTTATGAAATCTGGGAAGCCAGTTGTGAGCGCTTTTTTTTTGCTCCACTTGTTATATAGCAGCTCAGAAGAAGAAAAATTAATGTGTGGGAAGAAGCTCGGTGAAACATTCGTAGTTTGAGCCCCGAGACATAATTATCTAGAAGGCGAAACAGTCTTTCACACGATAAATTTATGAAATTTATGCACGAAGTGAACATATCTTTTTCCTCTGCCAAAATCGATCATCACGAGCAGGGCCGATATCAGAAGACAAGGTAAAACCACATGTAATGTAGCCACAGAGATTTGTCTAATAGGAAAATGGGCCAATTCTCTAATGGTTTTTATGGCAGCGGCTTAGACGAGGAGTCGGCAATGTGGCTTATCATTGTTTCCTCGGTAATTTTTATTTCGGCTGTCTAGCAGAACTCACTTCAGCAAGCGTCTATATTCTCAAGGGTATCCTTAAAAATCATCAAATGGATTGAGCATCTAAGAAGCTGGAACGAACATCTTTTCTCATTGAGCCAGCAACCTCAACAATTTACTAAATAACAAAGAAAGTCTAGTTATTCTATCCGTTTGGAATGACACTGAACATCTCTCATCATCGTCATTTGCTTTCCTTCCTCTGAGCTGTGTTCAAAAATCCCTACAAAAACAGTAATTTAATGCACGAATCTCCAGCATTCGCACCTTGGAAATCTCATTCAAGGAAACGATTGGTCTCACCGGAACTATCACAGCTTGTAGGATACGGTAGAAGAACTCTTGTTTCACACAGATTGCTTAATGTCGTACAAAGCTTTTCCTTTTAATATTCTTTAAGTCTGCGCCTCGTATCGATTTAATATACCTACTGGGTATATAAAGTTTGGGGAAAAAATGAAAATATGAACTTCTGGAACACTTTCGTTGTTACGAATAACAGTTGAATAAACTCCCTCGGTAGTTTCATGGCTAACCTGACACACTTTTCCACTTACGCCTAGCAATGTTTAAGTGAATTTTTATTTATTACTTATATTTAGATAAAAAATGTTTGGTTTTTTTCGATTTGCATATCGCACCCATAAACTCTCGCATGGCTTTGGTTGAAGCATTGTTAGTCGTTTTTTTTTTAATTCAATATATCGTTGATACTAGCCAGCTGATCGGTTAGGTTCCAAGTGATGCCTACATATACATGCATACATATGTACATCTATGGTAAGTATACATTTATTAGCTCTGCGGCTGCATCGTCTGCTAACGTTCTTAGCAAAACCTTACTAGCGGTTGGGCGGCTATTAATAATGGCAAGATTGCGTGTTCGAAATTGTTTCATCGTTTAGCTTAACTAACGCAAGGTTCTTTTTTGATTCCTTCATGTAATCTCTTACTATTTTTTGTATTTATTTGTTGTGTTTTCATGCAATGGAGGACATTAGTTTTGTTCGCATTACGCAGGTCTAGAAGTTAGACTTTTAAATAGATATAATACAGTGGCGCAAGATTTTTAGGTTTTCGAATTTTTGTTTTTTATTTTATTTTTATTTTTTGTTGTAAATTAATGTATTTAGTTTCTGAAATTTGATATTAATTGTTTGTGGTTAAGAATATCCTAAATGTAGGCAATGTTTTAGATTTCACATATAACAAAGCTGTGAGTTCATAAACATACAACGTTGCCTACAGTTTGGCGCATTTTTTATGAATTTGGCTAGGTCTCACTCCATTTTTTATTGCATAGAGTAAAATAAATCATTTTCAATTTATACTTTTAATTTGTGAAAAATTTATATTGTGAAAAAATTTCAATAGGTTGATTTAGTGCAGATATTTCAGCTATTTTTCCTATAAGATTTTATTGTAAAAGAATTTCATAACTTTTACAAAAGCAGCTACACTTGCCTACATTTAGGCGAAAAGCCACACTCTCATTTTAGTGAATATGCATATGAAATAGAGTTTCCTTTTACGAAAAATTTCGTCGTTTATGTATTTATATATGATTTTCCAGTAGATACAAAACGCATATAATTTATTGTTATGACCAAGAACCACTAACGCGCTGATTATTCGTTGGCTGTATAGCGAAGTGCGTCTTGTTTGAACAAAAGATCATCCACATCAACATCCTTCATGTCATAGCGTTGCGCACGAAGGCGGATGGACTCATTCGATTATACTAAAAAAAACAACCCTATAACTCATAAAATGCGGTCAACGTATTTTGGATTTTACCTGCATTGCCTACAATTGAGCGCATTGCTAATTGATATAGCAAAGACATACTCCATTTTCTGTGAGAATAAAAATGTAAAAGTGAAAGTTAATTTTATGATTGAGATAATATGTTTTATATGCTCTAAGTGACGACATAGAATTTTTTGGACGAAAAATTAAATCGGTTGCCTACAATTAGGCGTAATATTTACTGAGCTAGCTAATACGCACGCCGGTTTTTACGCTCACTTTTGAAAAAAGATTTTATTGATGTCTCAAAAAGTACAATTGGGAAAAAAACCTTACTTACAACGGCTGGCTTAGCCTTTATAAAAAAAAACTACTCCCACTTCTCTCATTTCGCCACACTGTGCAAAGCAACCTCGCAATTGCTTTTCGCAGCAAACACACTCCTACTCGGCTAACATTATCCTTGTGTTTTCAGTTTATATTCAACGTCAGGTGTCTTCACACAATATTTAGACATGCATAAGTGTACATATACATATACATATGTCTATATTTCTAACGCCATAAAATTAATTTAAACTCTTCTTCTCCTTCAAATCCACAGGCGCTTGAACGGAATATGTCCTTATCGGGACAATACCTGGAGGAGCTTTCAAGACGTTATAAAAAACAAGTGGAAGAACTACAACTAACACTCACCCAAACAGTACAAACGGTACGCACGCTGGAGGAACAAAGTCGCCGACAAGGCGAGCTCCAACAAATGCTCGACGAACGCAATGCCCAACTTAAGGATGGACTCGACGAATTGTCACTGCAAGTGCAGGCCTGCATTGTGGTCATCATCTTTGTGGGCGCCTTTGCCTTTCTGCTACTCATGGTTGGCATACTCGTTTACCGTTCGATGCGTCGCGAGACGAAGGAGGTGCTCGCGCTCTATAACAGCGCCAATAAAAAGAAGACCGCCAACGCAGTGGCAGCAATGCAACGGAAACTTAATCGACGTAAATCATATGAGGATTTCTCAGATCATCAACAGAGCGGCGAAAAGGTGCGACGCCCCAGCGAGGAGGCACTTATGATACTTAAAGAGCGTAGCGACGGCGTTGGTATTGAAGCAGTTGGTGATACGGCAAAAAATGGCGTGCAACGTGAGCGGAAAATATCCATTTGTTATGGCAATAATATGTCAAATGGTAGTCAAATGCATGAAACGAGCACACCGAATGCGTCGAATGTAAAGCAGCGACGTAGAGGCGAAAAACATTCATGGCCTAACACGGAGCACGCACAACAGCAGGCGCGACGCCACCTCGCACAATTGAATGCGAATCAGGACGGCGCAGCAGAGTTTGCAGATAGTTTTGACAGAGTTAATGGACGTCCACCGCGTGCACCGGTGCCACTCACCAACGGCAGTGAAAACCAAAATAAATCAGCTGGTGGCAAGACGAAACGAAAAGTGCAAGCACCACGTCGACAAACATCAGTATCGAGTGATTTGATGATGGGCAGCACAGGCTTAAGCAATACAATAACACCCATGTCGGCCGCAGATATCGAATACGATGAGAGTCTACGACTCGAAGAGGATGACCTCGATAATTTTATACCAACATCTGATTTGGCGTATAATGAATTTATGCCTGAAGGTCCTTCCGGCTATCAGGTGGAGGATAATGTGGATGCTGTCGACGGCGTGAATGCGGAGAGCAAGAAGGCTGGCAAGAGACTTGGTCGTCTAAGTGCGCCCGCTTTCTTTAAATCGCCCTTCGGCAAAAGTCGTAATAAATTGCGTAACAGTAAATCGGCAAAGCATCCACACGAATCCACTTCTTGGGAATGGTATCGTTCGAAAAACGCCGAATCAGCAAAACCATTAAGCGGCTCCGTATCGGCAAGCGGCGGTTTTATGCGCGCCTCACCAACAGTCAGTCTGGATTCATCCTCCCTTTCGGAAATTCTACTACCCAACAGCCGTACAGAGAACTCATTTCGCATACTCGAAGAGGCCATACTCTCATCCGGCGAAAGCATAGCCGCAAGCAGTGTAGCCACCACCGGCACGAATGTCACAGATAATGGTAATGGTAATGGTAATAGTAATGGTAGTGCTAGTGGTAGTGTTAGTGGTAATGCAACACACACTAATGGCAGTCATAGTAATGGCAGTAGCATCGCTAGTAACAGTAATCGCAGCTCCACTTCATCCACATCGACGAAAAAGAAAAATCGCAGCTTCAATAAAATATTTCGCAAAGTATTTTAGTGCATGCGTGCATATGTATGTGGTAGTAAAGAAGGAATGCAGACGAGTTGAAATTGTATTTTGAAAATTAATTTTAAATAAGTTTTATTCGTTCTCTAATGAGCGCATAATTGAGTGTTGATGGGAGAGGGAGACTGTTTTCCTGCGACCAGTGTCGTTTAATAATGAAATCTACGAAAACGTATTACATAGTTAACTAGTTTTAGTCTACAAAGTAGTTGTGTATAGTCTGAGGTCATTTTAGAATCTTATCATAGAAGAAATTTTTCGAGAGACAGCGAAGGCACTTTATTTTTCACACCTCAGGTGTATAATTTTATTATTTTTTCCTGCATATTTTCATAAGAACTCAGCGTTTGTATCATGTTTTATATAAAAGCTCAATGGTTTGCATAAAAATAGGTTATGTGTATAATATTTGATGCTTAAATGTATTTAATGGACTTTTTTCTTCCTATTTTTGAGGTTGGAAAAGTTAACTATTTGATACTTTTTAAACGGAATTCTTTAAAATAAGTTTTCATATTTTCGGGTTTGTTGCGTACCCACAATATACACATATTATAAATGATCATTCTCTATTTCCCATTTAGTTGTTGGTAAATAAGCAAAACAAGCGCAGTTTTCAACTTTTATTTTAATTTTTTTGTTAGGGTTTCAGAGGCATTTGTTTCTCTTATGATTGAATACCTCTTATATATACATATATATATATATATGTATAATATATAAATTTGATATATATCAAATTTTCATTTTTTTATTTCTTTGTTTTTTTATTTCTTATATATATATTTTAAATATATCATTTCGATGATATAATGTATGTTGTTATTAATTGTTTTTTTTTTTTTTTTTTTTTTTTTTTTTTTTTTTTTTTTGAGGTTATAAAAATTATTCTATACTTCTTTTCATCAGATCTTGATATTTGTTCAATGTTTTCAACCCTTGCAAATTTTGAAGTTATAAAATTTAAATATTTGTGTAAAAGCATAAAGCACACCGATAAAAAATTTATTTAAATTTAATTTTTAAATCTTTATTTTTCAATGACATTTGATATTCGTATTTTCGACTCGTTCCACTATATTTTTTTTTTTTTGTTTGAGGTTATAATTTTTTTTACACGAAAAATTGTAATTTCATTTGAATAATATGCGTTAGACTTTCAATATTTTTTTTTATTAAATTTTTTTATTATTCTATTAGATTTTCAATGATATTTGATTCAGTATTTTCAATCCGAACAAATATTGAGACTATAAAATTTATTTTTTTTTAAAGAAAAGCTAATTTAATGTTTAGTTTTTACATTTTTTTATTTTTTATTAAAATTAAAATTTTAACTTTTTTATTTAGTTTTTATTCAATAAATTTTTAATGATTTTTTTATAGTATGTTAATATGTTAGAATAATTCCAGCCCGAACAATATTTTGAGGTTATAAAATTTAATTTATAGTATTAAAGCAATAATTACACTGAAAGAAAAAAGTTAATTAATTAGTTAAAAGTTAATTTAATATTTTATTTTATTATTTTTATGGTGTTTATAATTTCTATTTCTTTCTATTTTTTTTTATTTATTATTTTTTATTTTATTTAATTATTTATTATTTATAGATAATATTGTTAGTATGGTATGTATTATATTTTATTTATGTTTTTATTGTTTTTAAATTTTGGTTAATTCTGTTTTTTTTTTTTGTTAATTATATAATAATTTGTTTTCATTTATTACTTACATTATTATTTGTAGTTTATTTAGCTTTTTATTATTTAATATTTTTTAAATTATTTATAACTTCTTTTTATTTATTAGTAATTTTTTTTGCTTATTATTTATAATTTTTTATTTTTTTCTTAATTCACTTATTTATTATTAATTTTTTTTAAATGCGCATTTTCAGTACGCAATCACCACTTCTCAAAACTTGAGTTTAAAGCTTATTCAGTTTTAATTAACCTAATTATGCCATTTCGTGCTTGCCGCTTGTTTTGTTTGTGTCCATAAACTAATTTGTGTGTTTTTTTTTCAAAAAGTTTTGTTCCTTTTGAAATTTAACTCATTTTTAATTTAAAGTAATTAAATTTTTAATCTAGTTTTTTAGTTAAGTGGACACGTCGTTTAAAGAAAGCAATTTTAAATCATAATATTCACAACAACAACAATAAAAATAAGAGCAACGATCATCAAATTTGCAATAAATTTAAGAAGATACTGCTGCTGAAAACTCCTTGACTTGGTGGGAGAAAGTAAGAAGAAGAAATGTGGAAGATGTAAGCGCAGAGAGTGGGAAAGCTCTAAAGCTGTAAAGTATTCTTTTTATTAATTGCTACATAAAAATTCTTAAAATTTACATTAATTGTAAAAATGTAAAAATTGATTATAAATTTAAAATATAAAATTTCAAGCGGAAAATTTGTTATTTATTTACGAAAATTTGCCAATTGCCTTTTAGCTAAGTTTGTCTATTTTGTAAAATTAATTAATAAGTAGCGATTGAAATTTATTTAGGTCAAATTCATTGTAAAAATATGTAATGATGTATAGAAAAAAATGTTTAATTAAATTGTGGAAATTTTTACATTTACATTTATGTAAAATTGATAAGAAAAATGATCGGAATTGCCTGAATATTGTTGATATTTGTAAGCAAATTTATTGTATGTATGTGCATAAAAATATGTACCTGTGTGTATATATATATTATTGTTAAAAAGAAACGAGCGCTGTTTTTAATGCATTAAAATTGAAAATATTCATTTCGTTAAGGCTTAAGAATACGTTTTTTAGGGTCACTTACACACATAGATAAGTAAATGCAAACAGATATAAATTGAACTGCGTAATATATATACATATATTTAATTTCAGTGCATATGCGTTGCATTGTGTTGTACGAAAATGCGAAAAAATGCGAGAAAGTTATTGAAAAATGCTAAAAATACCATAGGAATTGGGTCATAATTTTATTTCAACTCTGACAAATGTTAATAAAATAAGCGAAAACTTGTAATAAATACACACAATAGCACTGCAGCACTATAAGTTCTTTATTTTATGAATTTGCTTGTCCGTAAAGTACTTATATTTAACATCTTTTTTAACTCACATTTTAGAAAAATTTAGAAATTCCGACCGCTTTGTTCACTTCACTTTTGCCATTTATATACAAACATGTTTATACATACATACATGCATACAGATGTATTTCTAAGTTCCTTTAATTCATAATTCCATAAAAACAATGTTTAATTTTTTTTATATAACAGCAAAACGTAAATATTGCTTACATTCATTCAATCACTAGTATATAGGTAAGTTACTATATACAAGTATATACATACACGTATGTATATAAACGTATGTTTCAATTATTTCATTTATAATGTATTTTTAATTCGTTTGTTAGCTAAATAAGTTTCATCTTTCATTCATTTCAATATTATTTTATTATGATTGTTGTTTTAAAATATTTTCTAACAAAAAGGAGATATTTTATTGTTTAATTTGTTCCAATTTACTATTGGACGTTATTAATATATTTCATTGTAGTTCATAGCTACATACATATATGCTTAGTATAAAATCATTATATTAACAGAAATTTTCATTTATAAAATAACTTAAAATGTTATGCGTAATGCAATGCCATAATACTATTTTGGGTATAAGAACTATTTATTAACTAATAATAAGAAGTATGTAATATTTTAGGTGAAATAAAATATACATACATACATACATACATTGAATTGGACTATACAAAATTGCTATACATTCTTATATTAATAAAAGTATGATAAATAAAAATAAAGAAAAAAAATTATTGCTGTTTCAACCTGCAAAAGATCACAGCATCTTCTGGTCAGTATTAAATTTATATTTAATTTACATAGGCAAATAAATTTGCCAATAACCAATTTTTTTTCAAACTTTTCTAAAGCAATTAAACGTTTGATTCGTCAACGCCGAAGATAATACAACGGCGTCAAAATAAAGCAATGAGTGGTAAACTGTTACCCCACGACACGACACTGTAGCACGGCAACGACGATTTTTGTCTCCAAAATACTGTCTTGTAAGCGGCGACTGACACATTTTGATTGTAGCAGCGACTGTCATCCTGCCAAATTAAAACTCGCTCAAAGTTGACGGCTAGATTTTTAAGTGATTTGCGTCACCCTGTTGTGGAGTTGCCACTAGTAAGTAGGATTTTATTAATTGTTCCAATAAGGGCTATTTCACATAAAAGCTGATTATTCTTGCGTGACAGCTGAAACTCTGACTACGACGCGAACAAAGCCGAATGTATGCCACAATGAAAACCTAAAAACTACACGATATTTTTTGCAAGACATATTCACTTTGATACCCACTCAAGTACATATATCTGTCAAAACGCAACTATTATGTTAGGCGAGACAAAATTCTTATGTGAATCAGATTTTTGCATAGAGCTTTCAATTTGACAGATACATTATTACCTCTTTGACTAGTCAAAAAGCTAAGCAGATTCACCTTGATACAAAAGCTTTACTGAATCGACAATGCAACGCTAAAAGCTAGTAAACTCTCAAGCTGTAATGACAGATATTTCCAATTTTATCAGAAAATCGAAAAATGCTGACATTACGACATAGTATTTATTTTAAACAGTTATTTTCGTGCTATCAAAGAAAGAAACATCTGTTTTTTTCTAGTAATAATTGCACTTAAAGTTGTCAAGTTCAGTTCTAAAGAAGTTGTCGAAAACAACGGGTAATTGAAATTATTTATTGGTAAGCGAGTGCAAAAATGTGGGAGTTGGCTAACTTTTAGCGTTGTGTTATCATCAGCGTTGCTTATGTGGAAAATTTCGCAGAGTGGCATCTATTCATCTTAGACGCTAAAGTTATTCTGACACGTATTCCTATATTTTATCTACTTATTAACTTTTTGAAGGAATTTTAATTTTAACAGAGTGGAATAAAAATGTTTTCGACTTTCGGCCTGAGATGAATTAAGATTCCGTTTTCGGTTGACACTTGTTAATATAAGAAATTTTTTTTTTCAGATTAATTTTCCTACTCTTTGTTGGCTGGAACGTTAAATTTTTTATATTTTTCATATGTAACATTCTGTGTTGTTACCTTTCGATTTTTTATGTATATATCGATAACATTTGTCATATCCAACTATACCATTTCTCGTTTTCTAAGTAGCTTATAACTGCTGGGCAAAAAATAATTTATTTAACTCATTAAATCGTATAAACAATCAAAAGAAATAAAATATGGGTGATCAGGTAATATAAGAAGTGTTTAAATGTTTGTTTTATAATATTAAATTTCATTTTATAGCCGCCACAAATGCCGATGCCACCAGGCGCTGGACCAATGACTACCGGGCCACCGCCACTGCTGGGTATGCGGCCACCACCAGGCTTGCTACCCGGACCGCCAGCCCCACCAGTATTTCCGCCTGGTCTTAATATAAATCCTCATCAACAATTACCACCACCTCCACCACAGCGTTTGCCGCCACCTCCACAGCAGCAAATGCAACCGCCGCCACAGCACACAATGCAACCGCCGCCACAGCATACAATGCAACCTCCACCACAGCATACAATGCAAGCACCACCACAGCAGTTGGCACCACCACCTCAACATGCACTTCAACCGCCGCCGCAAATCAATCCTCAACACATGCCGCCTCCCCCGCGTCAACAGTTGCCACCGCCTCCACAGCAACCGTGGAATCAAGGGCTACCACCACCACGTATGGAACCATCTAACAACGAACAGGGTGGACACCCCATGACACTTATGTCGATGCAAGTAGAAAAACCAAAAGTTGTTGATGGGAATAAAATCGGCGGTGGTACTTCAACAGAAGAAGCGGGTGAAGCAGGTGGGGAAGGAAAAAATTCTGACGATGAAGAAAAAAATAAGAAACCAACTGAAGTTGTGCTACCAAAAGCTTTGGAAGATGTTTTGGCTTTGAAAGATCAACGCGCAGCAGAATTCCATATTAACGCTGAGGATTTTACATCAAACGACGCGCAAAATTCTAACGTAGGCGGCGCTGGGGGAAGTGGCGTTATTGGCAATGACTATGGTGATGCAGGCGATGATTCTGATGATGAAGGAGAAGCTCAAATGAATGGAGGTGTGACAGGTAAAGGTGGGAAACAAAGTCGCGCGGAGAAAAACAAAAAGAAGAAACGCAGAAAGAAGCAGAATCGTAAATTAAGGCAGCAGCGGGAGCAGGAGCAAACAATCGAGGGAGAAAATGATCAATTAGCCGAAATAGAGGAAAAAACGGATGATGCAATAAATAATGAAGAGGAAATTATTGAATCAAATAAAAAGTATGAGGAAGAAGCAGCAGTAGTCAAGGAGAAATCTAAAGATAGTAAGAATAAAAAAAAGGAAAAAGAAAAACAAAAAAGAAGGGAAAGCTCTTTTGATAAAAAAGAAAAATCGGATAATGTTAATGAAGATGACGTGACTATTGAATATGTGCCAGAGCGGATCACAATCGCTGATCTAGCTCCCATGTACAGGCAATTCTATCGCGTCTTCGAAATATTCAAGTTGGAAAATAAGCCAAAAATCACAGAAAAAGAAAAAACGGCAGCAGAGAACGAAGGTGCAAGCTTACCTAAAAAGCCTGTGGATAAGATGCAAGATGATGACGATGATGAGGAAAATGAGGTATATTTATTTTTTTTCGAAAGAAAAAATGAACATTTAATATTTTTTTTTATTTTCAGGAAACTAAAGAGGATAAAGAGAAATTGTCAAAGCGTAAATTGAAAAAGCTCACACGTTTAAGCGTCGCAGAACTCAAGCAACTCGTCTCACGTCCAGACGTTGTAGAAATGCACGATGTTACCGCACGTGATCCAAAATTATTGGTTCAATTGAAAGCCTATCGCAATACCGTGCAAGTGCCACGTCATTGGTGTTTCAAGCGCAAATATTTACAAGGGAAGCGTGGTATTGAGAAACCTCCATTTGATCTACCAGCATTTATTAAGAAAACTGGCATTATGGAAATGAGGGAATCGCTGCAGGAGAAAGATGACGCCAAGTCATTGAAATCGAAAATGCGTGAACGTGTACGGCCTAAAATGGGTAAAATCGATATAGATTATCAAAAATTGCATGATGCTTTTTTCAAGTGGCAAACCAAGCCACGCATGACTATACATGGAGATTTGTACTATGAGGGCAAAGAATATGAAACGCGCTTAAAGGAGAAGAAACCCGGTGATTTGTCTGAAGAGTTACGAATTGCACTTGGCATGCCGGTGGGTCCGAATTCACATAAGATACCGCCACCATGGCTCATTGCGCAACAGCGTTATGGGCCGCCACCTTCATATCCAAATTTGAAAATACCTGGCTTGAATGCACCCATACCAGAGGGCACTTCGTTTGGTTATCATGCAGGTGGTTGGGGTAAACCGCCAGTCGATGAAAATGGCAAGCCTTTGTATGGTGATGTATTTGGAACCAATATAATGGACTTAGATGTAAATATACTAAACTAACAATAGATAGGTACGTTTTTACATATGTATTTTTTATTTAAATTATTAGAGCGGCATTGATGAAGGTGATATTGAACGCAATCAATGGGGTGAACTCGAGTCTGAGTCTGAAGAGTCATCTGAGGAAGAGGAGGAGGATGGCGAAGATCTGGTTAATCAACCTGATGATAGTGGTCTCGTTACACCTGCTGAAGGTTTGGTCACTCCCTCTGGTCTGACAAGTGTACCAGCCGGTATGGAAACTCCGGAAACGATTGAATTGCGTAAAAAGAAAATTGAGGCGGAAATCGAAGAGTGAGTGACGAATTCTTAAACATTATGCGATTTTAAGGTATCATATATCTTTCTTACAGCAATGACACTCCTGTTCTCTATCAAGTACTACCTGAGAAGCGTACCGATCGTGTTGGTGCTTCGATGATGGGCTCAACACATGTTTATGATATAAGCGGCGTTAACAAACCTGCTGCACGTGCTGCAGTAACAGTTGATCGGGAGGGCACCGTCGAGTTGGCATTGGATCCATCAGAGTTAGATTTGGATAATGAAGCTATGGCTCAACGTTATGAACAACAAATGCGTGAACAGCAAAGTCATCTACAGAAGGAAGATCTCTCTGACATGTTGGCTGAACATGTAGCACGTCAGAAGTCGAAACGTAAACGTCAGCAAGCCGATACAACCGGTAAAACTACTAAGAAATATAAGGAGTTCAAATTTTAATGCTCCTCTAAAAAATTTAGTTTGGAATTTGCTATTAAGCGCATTTGTATTTTCAACAAAAACAAATATAATAAATACTATATATATTACATTCGTTGTTAAATATTAACGCTTTCATGGATTTTATATTGCGGGTTCGCAAAATTCAGAAGTGGCATAATAAGCTTAAGAACGGAATTTTTAATAATAAAAAAACTCGTTTAAGAGAATTTATAGTTAAAACAAATTTTACTACATTAACTTTCAACAGAATTACATTTTTAAATCATTCAAAAACTCTGTTACTTCCAACATATCATCGTCATATAATTTCTTCTCTCTCGTCGCAGTATTTAAACGACGAGCTGCCGCGCCTAAATCCTTTTTCCATTCCTCTATGCTTTTGTACTTTTCATTGTTTGAACAATAAATAACTTCATTAATTTCTTCATCGAGTTTGTAACAGCAAACTGATTTAAAGGCAGCACGTAGCTGTACTAAGGCTTCGTCTCGCAAAACTTCATCGCGGCACACTAAATTCAAGATAAATAGTCCTTTATCACCAATAATCGACATGATGTTCTCGAGTACGGCAGGTTCAAGGAAACTCTTGGGTGGACAACTCATGCCAAGCGAAGAATCTTTGCTATCGACGTCAAATAACACTGCACTGAATTTGATTTCTGCGTTGAAAGAAATTATTTAAAAAAACAAGACGCTGAGCATTTTAACTTAACAACAATACCTTCCCTTTTGCAAACGTCTAAGAATGCTAAACCGTCATCGATTACGACATGAAACCGGTTATCTTGTTTCAGTTCAAAATATTGTTCCGCCACTTCCAGCATTATAGGATCAATTTCAACAGCTGTTAATCGAACATTTCTAGAAATTTAGCATAGATTTTTGAATTTGAATATCCGGAAGAAATGACTTAAAGAATTATATCGTAAACTTACGGCACTGCTGCATGTAGAAAACTACAAAGGCCACCACCACCTAATCCCACCACAACTACATCTTTGAGCTCATTGGGATTATTTTTTGGACCTGTAATCAATTGAACACCGGCAGACATATACAGGTGATGTTGACAAGCCAAGTAGCCAAAATCGATTTTCTTACGTTCCTTTTTCCCTTTTAACTTTACTGTAAACAAATATTTGTAATCATAGAACCTGGTACATGGTATTTATCAAGTTTACTTGTTTTAACTAACGCTTCCGATTGTATTACAAATTGATTACTTAGGAAAATCAAACGCCGAAAAACTTTTCCTTCAGCACCCTCTACTTCCTCAATGCGAAATTCGCCGGAAATTTGTGAAAAACCACTTACTAATGTTTGACGCTTGCCAACATCAGCAGCTATTGACAAGAATGGAATCTACAATGTAAAGAATGTTGTCTCATAATGATAAATTCAAATTCAAAATTTTTATCTGTTTAACCTGTTCCGTCAGGCCAATAGGGGCCAGGCATTTTATGCTGTCTGCTAATTCGGCTCTAACGCTGTCTAGTGACAAGTATGTCTGATCTCGATGAAGCGTAACTACGGCCAGACGTTGGTATTTTGCTGAACTCTGTAATTTTTCCCGTCCCTTAGTGGTAGCAAAGAGCCATTCAATTTCTCTGTAAAAAATGTATGAAAAATTTATGTATATACAAATTTTACGTGTTGTTTGTGGTTTCTCTTACCTTCCCTGAGGTACTATAAATGCCGCGAACTTGCCCAATCCTCTCGCTGGCGGTTGATCAAGTATATAAACTGTATAGCGTGGTTTGGAATCGCCTGGTTGACATAAGTCCATAACAACTTCTTTATGCCCTGTTTCAAAAAACGTTAAATTTTTATAATTTTATTTTTTCTGCCTAACTTACCTGCAATACTGGTGCGCGCTAGACCGTTACAAATCAATGCCGCCTTCTGAACCGCAGTCACAGCATTTGTAAGTTCTTCGGCGTTTTGTACTCTTTGCATTTTATCCTTACCCAAACTAAATTCCAAAATCTTAAAATATAATACAAATAAGGGGTTGTATTGTATATACATATATGCATGTAAAAAAAATTACCGGAGTTGGAAGAGCTTTGAATTTCGTCGCAACAACAATGAAGACAGGCATGGCTCCGACATCGGGATTGTCGGCATTCTTTTCCTGATTAGCACGATCGGCATCGGTACAATGTACAACACGTAACATAAAACCGTTACGTGGAAAATAATTTAATATATAACGCAATATGTGCTCTTGTAATAGTGTTATGCACAAGTAACGGCCACCATTGCTATATTATTAAAAAAAAAAATGAAATGATTATTGTGATTATTCTACCAAATTGTTATTTCGATTTGTATTTACCGCATAGTACGTTTAATTTCATTAAAGTAACGTTCTACCGTTGCCTGTACTTCAGGCGTATCATCAACAAAAAGCGCATCCAATGTGCCCTTATCCAGTGCCACTGAAAAATGATCATCCTCAAACGTCATCTGTGTAGCATCCATTTGTAAATACGTCATGCCTGGACGCTTTTCTCCATTTAAGTCTAACATTTTTCGTATCGCCACCGTTGATATATCAATATTTGTAATATTTCTATAAAGGCAAGCACATTTTTACTACCGTTTAGTATTCTTGTAAACAAGTACCGTACTTACCTAAAACCTGAGTCGTACATTTCCATGCTAAGTTGCGAATTACCGCAACCTAGCATTAGTATTTGATCTGTGTACTTCACATATTTGTGTATTTGTTCACATAATTCCAAATATTCGCCATACCTACACTTAGAGAAGAAATATATTAGGCGCTAAAAACCGGATAAAATGTTGGTGTTGCAGAGTTATACTGACCATTCAAAAGCCTTTTCTCCACGCTTCGTAAAGAATGAATTCCAATATTCGGGCTGTGCGAATTCCTCATGTGATTTCGGCAATAAATTCATGTTTTAAAGTACACACAATTTAAATTTTGTTTATTTCACGTGCCAATAGATATTATATACCACATCGGAATAGGAATCAAGTCAATTTAATTAGCATCAGCTGCTTCAAGATTTGTTTGCTATTCGATTAATATCGAGTTGATTACAGGGCGAGACAATTAATTCATATTTGGTCTCTCGATATTAACACAAATGTTATAAATGCTTTAATTTATTAAAAAACCATAAAACTAAACGAATAACTAAGTAAACTAAGTTCAAATTATTTACCATTATTTAGTAGGAAGTCATCATAAGACGCAAATAACAAAAAATTCTGATAATGTGTCTTACATATTTTGTGCATTTGATGCACTCTCTGTTTAATCGGCTGGCTTACTTGATTAATTTCAAGTATGAAAAAAATCCACATACGACAACAAATATTTTGACGTTTAATGGGAGCGAATAGGAAAAATACTGATTGGCTCAATAATTAGAAATTTTTGGTAAAATTCAGCAATTTAGCCAATAGTAATGCGTAATTCTATATAAAATTTAATATTACATTTGTTTAAGTCAAAAGTTTATATTAAAAACGACCTATAATAACAATACTGAATATAAAATAGATGTACTCCGCGTTAGGGAAAGTGTTATAGGGGCGTAGGTGCGTTTGTGTGTTTTTCTGATTGGAAGTGACACTTTGATCCAAGTGAAAATTGAGAAGCATACTCTTGTTTAACTACCTACGACTGAGCAAAATAAACACAATAATCAAGAAGGAATACTATATAGAAATAAGCAATTTTTGCCTGTACTATAAAAGTACTGGATAAACCATTCCACAAAATCCGGACTGTCCTGCTTATGCCACAAATGTTTTTGGTTGCGCAGCAAGCTTAAAAATAAACAACGACTAAATGCGTGCAAATGTTAGTCTGATGTTGTCGCATGGTGCTAGCGAAACTGTTATGTCGCGGCCAGATTATGAGCAGAACTCGCTACATCATGGTTGTTTATTGGTGCTATTACGTGGCGTAGGACCATCGAAGCCACGTTCATTGCAAAAAGCGTTCGATAAGGTACGCCGCGTCAGCAATGTTAAGATAAATGGTAAGTGATCGTTGTTATCGGCGACTTAAGTTTTTAAAATTTATATTCACTTCATTTTTCTTTATTGCAGACTCCTCAGGTATTACACGTGATATTTGGGTACGATACATACATGACCATCCTGTAGAAAATAATGATTGGGGTGATTTTCAAACCCATCGTCGGCTACTTGGCCTAGTGACTATTGGAAAATTTGAAAATCAAACCGAGTTAAACGAACTTTGTAGGCAACATGAGTCTCTCAAAGTTCGTTACAGTGGTACACTGTATGATTCACGTGCAATATTCTTTGGTCCAACATCAGCAAATACGACTGATAATGTCAATTCCGCCGGTGGTGATCAACAGCATGTAGATTCCAGGAATAATAGTTCTAATATTAATTCTAATAGTGTAGGAATTCATTGCACACGTCTACAGGATGAATTCACCACACCCTCCAATTTTAAGGCCCAAGCATATTTCTATCGTGAACAGGATTCTTGCAGTGACTTGGAGTCACACATTGCTGAATTTATACATGCGTTATTTTGGGTTTTAGAATCTAAACGTTTGGATAGATCACGTGAAAAGGTGGAAAAAATTAGTTTGCTTTTAGCGCCTAAGGAGAAACGTGACTTTGTCGGCATGGATATGGATTCACGTATGAATCGTAAACGATGCGTTGGCCGAGTCATGAAAAATTTGGCTGACTTGTCTTTGCAAGCTGGTCTAGTAGTAGAAGCATTGGGTATGTATCATAGTGCTTGCGACACCTTGCGTGCCATAGGTGATTCATTGTGGGTAGGTGCCACAGAGGAGGGTCTGTGTTCGGCTTCAGCGATTCTCCTGTACCCACATTTGCGTGAAAGTGATACGCTACATCGAAATACATCTTTACAAGACGCAGGTAATTTTTCAACTGCTCATACATACATAGGCTGATAATTTAAATAATGCTAATATAACTACATATTTCTTAAGGTTCTTCTCCGCTGCGTAATACGCCAGAAAAATGGCGTGCCAGTGATGTCACTGTGAAAGTTCATGCGAACGAGCATCAGCATAATTCCCAAGATGATGGGCCTGCCGTCACACAAATGGCATCTGCATCATCATCTTGCTCCTCAGTATCTTCCCTCTTGACAAATTCTCCAACTTCCGGCACGCCATCATCATCCTCTTCTACGTCCACCATCTCAGCGGCGCAACATGGCTTACGTACAGCCGAATTGCCTAGCAACATACTAAAACCCGACGAGCTTCATGGGTACTATAGACGTGCAATTATAAATTATAGCAAATATAGTCATGCCGCTGTTATAGAAACCGAGGCGGCTTTAAAGGCAGCACGCATTTGTATTGAACAGAATCGGCCATTAGATGTCGCCATGTTTTTACAAAATATACTATATTTGAATGTGAGCATGAGCGAACCGGAACGTGTGAAGCGTTTCGAAGTCATAACAGATTTGTATCATCAAATCGGCTATAGACGTAAAGCGGCGTTCTTTCAACGCTTAGCGGCACTTAAATACGTCCAACAGGGCAACCCTAACCCTGATTGGTCACAAACGTATCGCTTGATGTTGGAAAGTTTCCCTGGTTATTTACTTTCGCTGGACCCAATGGAAGTGATTGATAATGCGGCGGGTTGGCCGACATTACAAATAGATTTGCTGCAAGGTGTCATAGCTGCCGCACGACGTTTGGGACAATCAGCATTAGCCACACGACACATGACTTTCTTGCTGCAAACACAATGGGCGCACATGACGCCAACAGAGCAAAGCGATATGTCTGTGCAATTACAAAATTTAAGTGCGCAATGTGAAGGTTCACCTGTGCCTTTGGTGCTAGAAAACGGCACTGTCATACCGCCAGCCAATCTAACTGATTTGCCCTATTGCGTGGACTTGGTTGTGCGAGATTTGCCGGCTCATCTGCGGCCGCAAAGGATAAAAATTGTTAAAGCAGATAGTGGACCCTTTCTCTTCACGCCTATACATCTAAACTCGTTGGATAGACGGGAAAAGAAACGTGAAAAAAATAAAATTGGTGAGTGTTTATGAGGAAAATCCCGCTATAATTAAAAATGTATTTAATAATAATTTTTCTGCAGCCTTTCTATGGGTGCAAAACAATTTGAGCGAAGTAACGCTCCGTCTGCGCAATCCACTACCATTTGAGCTGACTGTCAGTGATATGCGATTACTTACGAATGGCATCGTATTTGAATCGCTGCCCCAAACAGTCATCTTACAGCCACATGTACCAACCACTGTCACACTGCATGGCACGCCCATTGAGGTGGGCCAATTGGAAATACAGGGTTATAGCACTCATGCGCTTGGCGTCAAGTCTAATTGTCGTTTGAAGAATATGCGTGGTCGCAAATTTCCGCCCAATTATTTAGTGGATGTAATACCAGCGCTGCCTCGTATATCTGTGAAGACCTCTTTGCCGCAAACAGCAACATTCAGCCAACTGGCAAGCTCAGATATTGTCATTACATCCGCCAGTTTAACTTTATATAATGGTGAATCATCAACTTGTATAATAACCATAACGAATGACAGTGCTTTGCCCGTGGAACATTTGGAAATAAGCATCAATTCGAATGTGGAACCTGAAATTCAAAAGAAAATATTCTCAATCGACGAAAAGGCTTTACAAGTGAGTGTAATTTTTCAAATCTGATACACAAATTCACATTTTTTCCACAACTTCTTTTTTTCTGCCTTTCCTCTGCAGACAAAGCTACCCATTCAGCCGAATAGCTCAATCGACTTCACGGTGCATATTTATGGCGAGGCTGATTTTATCTGTCCCATTGTAAGTCAACGTGCCGCTTCCGTGCATTCTAGCAGCACAATGACTGCTACCTTGCAAGCAGATTTTGCTGGTGGTAGTGGTGGTGGTGGTGCTGGTCCACATTCATTGCAATACTCTACACTTTCCTCATCGGGTCATGCGAGTCTGCCATCCCGAGTCAGTTCACCCAATCAACAACAAACGGCGCACAATCGACGCAACGATCCAAATAATCTAAGTTTTCGTTCATCCACATCGGGTGGCACGACATCGCTAGCTGCGCTTAGCTTGCCGGCAGGTGGAGCGCATGGTAATAGTGGTCAAGGTTATGGACAACATGTTGAGGCACAATTTCGTATAAAATACTCAGGTGGTGAAGGCATGCAAGAGGGTTACTGCCGTCAATGTGCAATATCGTTTAATCTTGAGCTTTTACCGAGCGCGCAAATAACCAGCTGGGATGTGTTGCCGGCGGAAATGTAAGTTGAGATTACTGAAAGTTCAAATTTTTTCGTTACCTGTATATTCGAAACCGGTATTTTGCTTAGTATTTACTCGATTTATAAGTTATTTTTTTTTTTTTAACTATTTTTCCACTTCTGAATTAAGCAAAGCTGCAGAATTTTTTTTTTTTTTTTGTTAAAACTATCAACTCTTCAACACTTTTTTTTTTAGCCCTTCACAATTTTATTTGGTGCTCGATGTTTCCAATTTGACTGCTCAAGAAATGTCGCTCAACTACACTAACAATAAAAGTATATTAATTGAAGCCAAAGAGAGTTGTCGTGTGCCAATACCAGTCGATCGTTGTTCATTAGAGCAAGTGGTGGCGGCACGTGAGGCGGAATATGCTGAAAATATGGAAAAGGGTATTAAAAAAATAAATATAAAAAAAAACAATGACAATAGTATTGAATATAAACCTTCTAAATACATTCCACAGATCTTTGTTATCGCACCCAGTTGCTCTCCTTCAGCGACAGTATTAGTAAATTATGTTCAGAGCACATAGCGGAGCGTGTGAAAATCAGTTGGCTTCTCACTGGCACCGATATACAGGGTATAGCATCACTACATGGCATCGTGTTGACATCAGCTATGATTGACTTGACAACTGTTTCACCGCTACAATGGAGTGAGTGTTTTTTATTTCTTTCATGGATCAATTAGAAAAGGATAACTTTTATTTGAATTTTTACAAAAGCGGTATCCTTCCAAAATACACCCGTTCAACCGCAATCGGAAATCGTTTGCGCCGCCGGTCAGAGCGCCATATTGAATGTTAGTGTTTGCAATCAATCAGCGCAGCCATTACGCAACCTGGTGCTTACGATAAAGTTCTATCAGGACTACTTGAATGGCATGGAAAATTATAATTTAGATACACGCGTTGCCATTTCGGGTTCAAATAGGTAAAAAAAATACTTTGCAAAATACCAAAAAATTTTAATATTAAAAAAAAAACAAATTTTTTTTATACAGAGTTTCAATACCTTTTCTACAAAAGCACGCACAAATTCAACACGAATGCACGGTAATTTTCTTTACACCTGGCCGTTTTAAGGCGAGCATACAATGCTGCTCTAAACCTCAAGTATCAGCAGCAGCAGCAGCAGCAGTAGCAGTTACAACACAATCAGCAGTTGGTGCCGCCACCCAAACGTCGGTAGATCCAAATGTGCCTACTTTACACATAAATGATATTGTTGGCAGCGCTGCTAGTTATCATGAGCAACAGGAACATATTTGGAAATTCATACCGCCTATTGAGGTCACTGTCATTGAGCAATAATGGAAAATATGTACATACATACATATGTATTCGGAATTAAAAGTTCTGTTTTGTGAAGCTAAAAAATTGGTACGCAAAGGTTTTGTTATCGCCTTGTTGAGACGTCGACGTTTTGCTAGCTGTTAATTTAAAAAAATTGTCAACGTTCCATGCAAACACATTGCATTATACTCGTTTATGATAAAATTTTGTTATTTGTTCATATCATATATATATATATACATACATATTTGTTTACTTAATTGAGTTGAGTAAAAGTGACTTCTGCGTTAAGTCGTAAGAGTGCAATATTTGATCGCTCTGTCTGGAATTAAAAAGAAAACACACGCATTTTAATTGTACATAGGCAATAATCTTTTTTTTTTTTTTGTTTACTGAATGAAATTGTGCAAACTTCAACTATTTTCTTCACCTCAATTGCATATCTGTACTTTATAAATATTGAAATTTCTGCATTATTTGTTAAATTTTGTTTTATATACATACATATTCTATACGTTTCTAACGCTTATCAATAATGAACTTTTTTTTTTCTTTTAAATAAATCAAAAAGAAATTATTGAAAAAGTGTTTTCTATACATAACTAACGAGATGAAAACGATAGTATACACGTATATAATTATATACCATTATAATCAATAATAAATTCAAAAATGACTTTCGTTATGTTGTTAAAAATATGTAGTTATAATGTTTTATAGCGTCATTTTTTTTTAGAGCACATATATTCCTCTGTGATCTGCTGACCCCTGTGGCACATTTCAGTCGACTCTCATGTGCTAATGTTACTAAAAACAAGTTAAAAATAGAGAAATAATCAAGTGTAAAACTGTAATGTTACAGCGCTATTTAGTTACAATAAATACTCTCATGTAAACACAGTTCATAAATATATACATACTTACATAAAATTGATGCTAAGTAGTCGCATTCTAAAAGCAATTGTTACTATAAGCGCTTAAAAGTGCAAGAAAGCAACTTTAAACATAAAAAACTATTTTCGAAAAATTTCTAAGCGTGCATTATGTGTATTTAGCTTATAATTGAGAAAATCAATATTATAATAAACAATTAACATATACATATATAAATATAAAACAATTGATTTAATAAACAAAAATATTACATAGTAAAATATTGTCATATTCAAATAAATGCCTACAAAAAGATAAAATAAAATTGTTTTACTTATAAAACGGTTATTCCCCTGTGAAATGCAAAATACTTATCGATTTAAATCGACTACAATGATGTCAGCGATGAACTAATGAAAACTTCATTTTCTTGAATAAAATCAAATAAAATTTAATTTGATCTAAACAATGAATTATTATGATAAAAGATAAATATATTAATAATTATAATGAGATTTTTTAGTCATTGTTAAACGAACACAACATTGAGTTGTACCAAATAAATATATATTAATTTTATATTGTTTATTTTTTATATTATTTATACTTTGTATACATTTTTAAGCACGACTTTCTTAAGGGGTTACATTGATGAAAATTTGAACGAAAAATAGTATAAGTTAACGCATTGGCAGTGTCGTGAAGTAGACCGTCCACAAGAACGTCCACAACTTTTTCAGTTTTTATTTGAAATCAAAAATCCAAATTTCTTCCTAAAGTAAGTGAATTTTCCTTGTTCCTGAGCAAAGAAAACTAAAAAAAAAATTAAAAATTCAATTTTTTGTAGCTTTTTTTTTACAAAAAAACACCATTTCTTGCATAAAATTAGACCACATATTGGCTTGTACAATGAGTTGAAATCAAAGATAAAATAAATCCTTCGTTCAGGGACTAGAAAACAGGCTTAAAAGAAGTGTGGAAAATCCGAAATTGATCACTTCAATAGTCGTTGAGAAATTTTGACTACCGATTCCGGAAAAGTGGTTTTTAGAAAAACGCGTTGAAAGTTTCGGCATCGGTCAAGCCATGACAAAGACGGCGGGTTATAAAACTCTATAATTTCTACAGTTTCGTCTCGATCGACTTGAAACTTGGGGAAAATATTTCTGACACTTTGTACTTTTATACAAAAAATTATCAAAAAAATTAATTTTTTTAAGTTTCGAGATCTATGTAACCCCTTAATTGAACAGAATTTAGCGATATCAGCTACCGAAATATCGAGTAGGTTTAAGAAACAGCAATCGATTATCCATAACATTGTGTCCCATCGCTGTTTGAGGAGTTTTACAATAGAAATAGCGTTTATCTTTTAACTTTAAAAAATACGACGGCGAGAATCCACCTAACTCTTGTGAAAGGAAACCAACACTAGAAATTTATATGTTACTAAAAAATGGTTGGCAAATCCACTGTTTCAGCTTTACAGGAATATTGTGCTAAGAATAAAGTACAACCACCGACCTACGAATATATCGGCGAAGAGGACGGTAGTTTTTCTTGTAAGGTATTAAGTTTATTAAAGCAATTATTCAATTCGTATACATCATAACTACAATAAGCATAACTTTCAGATCACCTTCATGGATACGGAAGCTGTGGGTATAGGGCGTTCTAAACGCGATGCGAAACATAATGCCGCCGGTGTTGTTATTAAACGTTTGCGTCTTTCTAATGAATGCGTCGATGATCTCGATAGCGGATTACCGCCCACTGATATGATAGTGGTATTGCGTGATTACTGTGTGCAGCACCAGATACCGTTACCTATATTTGAAATTGTACAGCAGGGCGGTACACCGGATGCGCCAGAATTTACAGCGTTATGCACTGTAGCATCAATACGTCGTTATGGAGTGTCTGAGAAGAAAAAGGATGCACGCCAAAAAGCTGCATATGAAATGTTTTGTGTAATTGTTGATGTGAGTCATTTGCTTGAGCGTCGAGTTGGTTTTATTAGGTACATACATGTGTAATGTTTTTTTTTTTCTTTGTGTAAGTAGGATGTAAACAAGCTGGATCATCAAATGCAAGTAGCAACACTTCAGGATGCACAAGAGGATTTTGAATCAGAACGTTATCTAAAATTTAAGTCATATCGCGAGATGACCGAATCGACCAATGGAGAAATTCCAGGTGTATTACTTTGTGATCGTCATAATTATTTCAAAAACTTTTATAAGGAACTTAAAAGAAGCGCACAAAATATTCTCATGAATACATCGTATGATTCTCAGCAAGATAAAGCCTTGGACGTTTTGGAAGCATTAAAAATTAAACCGAAAGTAACTAAAATGCCTACAGACAAAGCTAGTCCATTGTTATTTATCGAATTGAATTGTGATTTTGATGTTGTATTCGTTGGACCGCCGGATAAAGTTTACACTGATATAATTGAGTATTTTAAAGTAATGCTATAAACAACGTCGGATAAAGTTTACTCGGGAACAATCGAGTACTTTAAGATAATGCTGTACGTTATTCGTAATTTTCCCGGTTTTATACTAAAAACCTACGTCCTTATGCTTATTTATTATAAATTATAAAAACATTGAATTGCTTGAAGGTGTAAATGTTTTAAAGTGTGTTATTATATGCGATTAATTAAGAGTGGGGTATTTTTTTTTTTAAATATATTTCGCTTTTTTTCTTTTGTCAATTATTTTAAATAAATACAAGTCATAAAACAGTTAAAATTATTATTTTTTCAATTTTAGTTCTAATATCTCTCGGCCTACACCATCCGTGCTGGTCCACAATACTTTATACTGAAAGCGTTTATCAATATTTATCAATTGCTCGAATTGCCGCATACCACCACCCACACCGAAATAGTAGGTCTTTGCTGCTACTAAGACAACACCGTTTGTACTTAGTTTTGAATAGAAAGTATCTAATAGTTTTTGTTGATTTTTGGGATTATATATAGTTTCTGAAGTAAGTATATAATCAAACTTGTACGCATCTTTCGCTGCTAACTTGGTGTATTCACACCAATCTCCGGCATAGAATTGAACTTTATCTTTTAATGCGCCAATATTTAGGGTCTCCACTTCTTCAGCCTCTGTCGATGCTGATTCTGTACATGAAGTAGTTTTTGTGGAGTTTTCCACATTTAAGAGTACATTTGGTATTGTAATTTGCGTAAGTACATCCTTGTTCTATGACGACAGTATATTACGACATTTTGGTATTACAGTATTTCGCAATAACTTACATAATCTTGAAAGTGCACCACTGCGCCATACCTGTAGACATAAATGCCAAGTAAACCAGCACCACAACCCAAATCTAATATGCGTTTGTCATACCAGGATTGTGAATCGAAATTCTTAGCCAAATATTGTAGTAAATCGTCGGTACATTCCCAGATTTTTGCGCCACCTGGATAGTATTTATAAATATATTTAACGTATAGTAATTTTAGATTTAAATTTTAATACTTATGTACCTTCATAAACCGCTGGTAAGAGATCAGAGTGCGTTTGCTCGGCTTTTGTTATGTCCTTATTTTCAGCACTATTACATGTAATGTGTTCCAACAGGAAGCCAGTTACAACGTGCTGAATTGTTGTATTCCCTACATTTAAGGTCGTGGCATTCAATTTATAAACATCCAAATTATCCAATATATCCGCACTAATTTCAACTCGCTCCGCCTTATACCATTCTGCAGGCTCATCTGTCTGCTCATTGTCACTACATCACAAATTATTTACACTACACATTTGTAATTATTGTTTGAGTACTTACTTTGAGGCATTTCCAACTGGACGCTTTTCTTCTTCCTTATTTTTATCATTAAAAGGATTGTCACTATCTACTTCTATATTAAATGAAAACTTAAACATATTTTGAATATCAAATTATAATATTTTTCTGAAATAAATAAATATTTGTAAATCAAATACGCTTTTTTTATTGATAAACAATACGCCGGCAAATAGCACGTGTATTTAGCATTGCCACTATTTGGAGAAAAGAATAAAATTAATACGGTTGCATTGCACCCAGATGTTTTGTATATCGATGAATTTGTAACATCGCTGTCCCTGATAAGATCCCTTTATTTACAAAGAGTTGCGTATTGATAATAGTAAACAATTTATTTTTCCACTTTGCTCGACGTTATTTAAACAATTTAAAATACTTGCAGTAGCTATTTTTTTATGTAATTAGTAGTTGTTCAATACATAAATCATGTAGTTTTCTGGTTTACCTGTAATATACATATGTATACACCCAAGTGCTAAAGTTAAACTTCTGGCTTTTTACCTGAAAATATTTCCAACAGATAAATCAAATACATAATTGTTAATTAAAGCGAGTTCGAAGTTTAAGCTCAAATTTTCAACGAAAAAATGACACCAACTACCGAGGCCCCCATTGCCGCCGGTAACAGCAGCATTCGAAACAAAGAACGCGACAATGCGCTCATCATCCAGCAGAGCAACAAGTGTTATGAGCATAGAGAATTACAAGCGACGGCTATGTCTGTAGACTATACAGGACAATGGGTTTTGTTGGCTGGACGCCGACATTTGGCACTGCAGCGGCTGGGTCAGGATGATGGTACTTTACGAGAATTTCAAAGAAACTCAAAATATGAAGTGTCTGCTGCTGAATTTGCAACGCTACCCGATCGAAAGGAATATTGTGCGATTGCGGTGAGTTTTAGCGGTAAAATATATAAATTTATATCTTAATCAAACCCCTTCCAGACAAGTGAGCACATCGACGTTGTTACATGGGGTGCGTCAGATATGCAGCATTATCATTCACTGCGCGGTCATACACGCATGGTGACGGACATTGATTGGCATAGTAAAAATAGTAATCTGCTGGTGAGCTGTTCAATTGATACATTTTCACATATTTGGGATTTGCGTGATCCACGCAAGCCAACATTATCGTTAAGTGCTGTGTGCATGTGTAAGTGAAGTACCAATGCGGATTTATATTTATTTTTTATAATTTCATTTAAATATTTATACCTATTTACATATAAATGCCACCAGCCGGAGCTACACAAGTGGGTTTCAATCGCGTTTCAGGGCATTTGCTTGCGGCAGCACATGACGGTGATCTTCGCATATGGGATATGCGCAAAGGTTCTTGTCCTGTACATTATATCACAGCACATCTGAATAGGTAGCTTTACAACATTTATAAGCCCATATGTACAAATATATATCTTTGCTATATATATGCATTCTTTTAATATACTATAAAGAGTGCATGGCATCAATTGGAGTCATCTACGTGAAACTTGTTTAGCGACCGCCAGTCAAGATGGCACTGTGAAGTATTTTGATGTTAATAATCCAAGGCGCGCGGAAAAAATTATAACCATGCAATCACCTGTATGGCGCGCACGCTATACTGTACGTAAATAATTTATTTAATATGTTATTTCCTTAATCGGATTGAATATATATTTTTTTCACAGCCCATTGGCAATGGTCTGGTTAGTATTGTTGTGCCTGCTATGGGGCGCGGAGAGAATAGCTTGCTCTTATGGAGTAATAACAAGCAAACAGATCCCGTTTGCTCCTTTGTTGGACACACGGATGTAATACTTGATTTCGAATGGCGTCCAAACCGTGAAAATACATCGGAGATTGTGAGTAAAATATTGAAAAGTAACATTTTCATTTATTCACTTGAATTGATTTTCATTATTTAGTTTTAATTATCTACTTTTTACTTCTGACAATTATTTATTGACCAAATGGTATTCTTATCATTCACACATATTATCATCTGTGGCAAATGGACAACGAACAATCAATTATGTTAACGAGATTCTATATCCAACATCAGCTACAATAATCCCATCCAAATTCACTTCTAATCTCTTCATTTCAGCATTTTTTATGTCCCCTACAATCCTATGGAGCTTCGATTACATTATACGGTCACGGAATTCAGCTGTTTCATATCTTTCTGGCTGCCTTTATTGCTTCACTACAAGGCAGCTAAATCTCTTACCCAAAAAGACGAAACCATTGATTCGAGCTTCGGAAATTCCTGGTTTCTCTCCTTTATAATCTCAATCTTAACCGACTTTAGGGATCATTTACAAAAACGGGAGCTAAACCTTGTTAAAATATGTTGAGAAGATGAAGGAACTACGCAGTTTTTCGCTTTAGATCTTTACTGTATTAATCTCAATTTGCAATCTAAGCAGATTTAGTCTAGTATTAACCACAATAAAATACTCCAGAATACACTGGTAGAAACTCATCTCCTCACCCTTAATATAATTGTTGTAAACTTAATCTTTTAGGAACTCGTCACATGGTCTCGTGATCGTAGTCTGCGTGTGTGGAAAATTAATGATATGATGCTTAAGCTCTGTGAACCAGACATCGAGACTAAAGAAATATGCGATACACCAGACTCCTTTCCGGCGACGCCCACGAAATTTCAACCAATGCACTCGTCCTCCGTATATCAACCCACATTGAGTGTAACGCGTCCCGGTGCTGCTTCGTTGCCCACAGAAAGCTCTGACTGTCTAACAATACCGACGCTCTCGCGTTCACCACCACCGCCCATGCGTAAAGAGGAAACACATATCGCACGTTCGCTGACAGATCAACCAACTTGTTCTTTACATCATGAATTTTCGTTATTAAATCGTAATATGCCACACGTTGAGGTGGATGTATTGGATGCGATTAAACGTTTTGCCGTCTTTAAGATCTCCGCCGGTGGGCATGTGGTGGTATTGCAGGTATGTATGTGCAGTGCAGCTACTGCTCTTAATTTATACAGCACAGAAAAGTACACTAACACTTTGGCTTTTATAGACTATCTTCCCTACCGAGTATCCGAGTCCGAATATCGGTCCTGAGTTTTCTTTTTGCGAAGGCACCACGCTCCACGAACAACTTTCGGCCATATTGCTGAAGACCCTCAGAACGAATGCTATGCAACGCGTTAAAAAGTCACGTACATGTGTGGAGCAATGTCTGCGTTCACTGGTGGCAGCCATGAAAAAGGTTTATCTGAATTCGATCGAATTTTTATTTATATTATTAGAACATTTCTTTTCCTTATATCACACCTTAACAGTCTGTTGGCGGCGTCACTGACAAATCTCAGCTACGCTTACAATCACCACGTCTAGAGGGCGCCTTGAGTGGTGCTCTCCATGATGCCTGTATACCCTATCCACGCACTTCAGGAGTTAAATTCAATACAACCGGTTTATTGGTTGCCTTCGCGCAAGCGCAGTGCTCCAAACGGTTAACCTTACGTCATCAGAACACCACGCCACGCACTTTCTCAGCCATTAGCGGTGGTGTATTATTGGGCAATGTCCTCTATACACATCGCGATTCAAATGCCTCCTTTTATTTGCAAGATCGTATGAGCGGTAAACATGCGAAAAACCGCTCAATGCAAAAACAAGCAAATGCCACGCCCATTGTGCATATATATGAAGCTTGCAAGTTGTTAAATATCAATTGTGAAATGGCTAAGGAATTTTCGTTGGATAAACGTAATTTGCGCACAACATGTCGCCGCAATCGGCAGGTGTGCGAAACATATGGCCGTTATGATCTCGTACCGATTTGGACGCTCGCCGAGTTGATAGCCAAACCAAATATACCGAATGAAAGCAAGTACGAATCGTTATTCTACAAAGATCCATTCAAGAAATTCTTGCTTGAGGCCTTAATCATGCATTTCGCTGTTGCTGGTGATCTACAAACGGCTGTCATGCTGGCTTGCCTCTTTCACAAATGCACTTCAACTTCCGGTAAATTGGGTGATTTTATGTCGTCTACTTCGCCAGGTTTTCAAAACTGCAGCAAGTTGCAGCAACTTAATAGCAACACATCGCCATATCATACAGTGTTGCCCATCGATTATCATGCTTCACATCCAAAGAGTAACGCTGGTCTCACGGTCAATGTGCATTTGAAGCAGTTGCGTAGCAACTCTTGGTCCGATTCGTTGGATTGGGTCGACTCGAAACATTGTTACTCCGATTCGTACTCGTGCTCTTTGATAAGACGTACTAAAATGCCGTTATTCGATCATTTCAAAAAGGTGTATGCAGACATCTTGTTCGGCTGGCAGTTGCTGACCAAACGGGCGCTGGTAATTTATGTCGCACACATACATACATATGTGCAGTATTTGAAATCGTGTTTTATCTTCTTACTCTTTACAGATTCTTAAGCACACCATGTACTCACAAATCCAACCGCACGGCGTTGAGTTCGTCACTGAGTGTACGGGTTGTAATAAAATCAAGCGTACACCTTTGTGCACCACCTGTCAGCGTCCTGTGCTCTTCTGCCAGCTCTGCAATATGCCTGTGAAGGGTATGGCCAACGCGTGTCTAGCTTGTGGGCACGGTGGTCATATGGTGCACATGATGCAGTGGTTTAAGGTTCGTACAATGCAACTGCTCTCCAGGCACACCATTAAATTTATTTGTACATTTAAAGCTTAATCGATATTTTTTCTTGTTCGTTTACAGAAACACAGCATTTGCGCCTCGGGTTGTGGTTGTAATTGCTTAAAACAGACAGCTGCCTTGTTGGAGCTTATGAATTGATTTGATACACCTTTTTTTGGAACAAAATCTACAGACTTGATGACTAAAACGCCTTTAAAGCGTATTATTTAAGAATATAATTTAAAAACGGATGGACGACTACTTCATCGCGAGCATATTTAGCCATAAGCAGAATATCATTTGTATCTTTTCATTATTACTTTTTAAATGGTAGGATTTTTGTGTAGTTTTTGTAAATGTCTTGTGCCATTGTGGCTCTATTTTAGCACTTTAAACATGAGCTTTGTGCCTATTTTGTATATTTAATGCTAAAATGTATGACGATTTATAACCTAAAATTTTTAATAAATTTATAAAATAATAAATACTTAAATATCAGGACTTGACGGAGAAGTATTTTTAAAAATATAATCTTTTTCTTTTCAAAAATTTAAATTTTTTCTTAAATCTTTACCTAATTCAAATCACAAAAGTTCAATTGAATCTCCTAAGAGTAGTCAAAACTTTAGTAAGAGAATGGAATATACATAACCGGTTACTTCATAGCTTCAAACTTTCGGAGCTTTTACTATTGAGCATACGCCACTATAGAGCGCTTTTAGAAGCCACAAGAATCTTGCCAATGAAGAGCGCTGCAAAAAATATCAAAGAAATATCTGCAACAGAATCTTCAGGTACTTTTTTTTTTGCAGATGAAAAGAAGAAAAATGTCTTCCGCATCATCATTGTGTAATTGTGTCGTCACATCAATGGAATGAGCCATTTGCAGGTCACTAAAAAACTTTCCTCTTGAGAACCGTCGTCCACCCTCGATCTGCTTTCGCATTACTTTATTCAGGGTGGCGTTCAATTTTTCTCATACTTTCAGATCTTGACGAAAGCGACTAACCATTGATGGATATGGGTATGGTAAGGTCGAGCTTGGATATGTAGCACTAATCGATGAGACCTTACTTTAGAGCGGATCACTCTTCTTAAGAGATGACTTTGATTTCTAGCAGTGAAGGTGCTCGACATCCTTCCGCACACTATTAGACCTTATATCGAGCTCCGCCCAATAAATTCATGTTGTTGTTGTATCAGTTCACTAGCCCCACTTAGGCACAGGTTTGATCAGTCTAAGTCGCCGAGGCCATCTAAAGGTAGGTCCAGGAAACGAGCTGTTTCGACGGGGTTGGACCAAAGGGAGAGGGGGGTTAGATGAGTTGGTTTGAGAGGGCATGTGAAGAGGTAGTTAGTGTGGTGCGGAGAATCTCCACATGCAGGGCATACGTTGGGTATGCGATTGTATTTCTGACTTGAAATAAATGCTCTCCATAAAATACCATCGACTATTCGGAGACGGCTAAGAGCAAACTAGAATAATAAATCGCTGGAATGTTGACTAGAACTTTCAAAGTTAGTTTTTTTCCATATATTCAATATTAAATTACTTAGTCAATCACCTCACTGAGTTAAAAAATACAAATTGGCGCATAGATATCTTCTTCGATCTAGTTCAGGTAGCTTGGAAGACGACAAAGTGGTGGTGTTTCCACTTTTCTCTCTAATCCTTTCTGGTTTGGTTTATCGGTATCAATAGGACAGCCCAAATGAATGACCTTAAAATGTTGGTTGAGTGGAGGTTTTCTTCTCTTTTCACTGGCTAGTACTGCATTGAAAACTTTCAACGCTGAGCGTGTTCTGTCAAGCCTGTAACTTCTTTTTGTGCGTCTCGTTCGTCCCCGTCGCCCGAATCGGTGCAGCAACTCAAGACCGCCGGTTCTACGTATCGGACTTGACCCGGCTTATATCCGTCCAAGAGCTGTCACCCTTTCAGCAACCTAACCACGTTTAGGTCAACAGATAACTTGGGTTCCAATCGTTGGACATGCTTTCGTCCGAGCATTTCCTACAAGGCAGCTTATGCGTGCGATTAGTGATCTTTTTGCCGCCGTATTTGAATAGCTCGACCAGGAGTCCATTGACCAGCTTCGCTTTGTTGCTTTTCAGGCGGACAAATGTCATTCAAACTTCTTCGTAATAGGGTAATGAAAAATCTGTTCCATAGTCAGCGTGTGGGGTATCGATTTCGCCATTATCCCACTTGGCAGCAGCATTTGCTTCTTTTTTTTTTTAAATGCATGTAAATAATGATTTTAAAACTCTAGAATATTCCATAGCTCTAAATATATTTCATACCAAGTTTCAAAAACAACATTTCCGATCAACTTAACCTCACTTTCTTAGTTAAAATACATATATTTAATTTACACAACAATAGTTGATTAAAATTTGGCCACGATTAGTTGAACAGTTTTGAATTTAATTACAAAAAAAATCAATACTATTTATTAAAAATATAATTATAATGTTAATTTGAGGAAAAAAACACAAGCTCATAGCCTATATATATATATACATATACATATGTATGTCTACCATTAGTTTAGTAATAAAAATTTATTCTCTTTTAATTAACAAGAAAAAGTGTTTGCTGGAAATACTCTTTGCAGACAGAGTTTAAAGTCTTTTAATAGCGTTTTATAACAATAAATTTTTTTGCTTCAAAATAATTATTACAAATAATTCATAAAAATTATTTTTAAAAATTCTTAACAGTTATTGTAAATGACTAATAAAAACTATTATATTTAATTAATAAAAAATGTTTTCAATAATTAATAAAAATTATTATAAACAATTAATAAAAAAATAATCAAAATTATTAATAAAAATTATTATAAATAATTAATTAAAAGTATTTTCAATAATTAATAAAAATTATTATGAACAATTAATAAAAAATAATAAAAATTATTTTCTAATAATTAATAAAAATTATTTGAATTAATTAAAAACAAATTATTATAATTCATAAATTAAAATTTTTCTAAATAATTCAAAAAAATATTATAAATAATTAATAAAAATTATTCCAAATAATTAATAAAATTATTCTAAATAATTACCATAAACTATTCTATATATTTAATTAATAAAATTATTAATAATTATTCCAAATAATTAATAAAATTTATTATAATTTTAATTCAAAATTATTCCGAATACTTAATATAAATTATTTCAAATAATCAATAAAAAAATTCGTAATAATTAATAAAAATTACTCTAAATAATTAATAACATTATTATAAATAATTATTATAAACTATTCTATATAATTAATAAAATTATTATAAATAATTAATAAAAATTATTCCAAATAATTAATAAAATTATTCTAAATAATTAATAAAGTTACCCCAAATATTTATAAAATTTGTTCGAAAGCAACACAATCTATTCTAAATACTTAGTATAAATTATTTCAAATAATCAATAAAAAAATTCGTAATAATTAATAAAAATTACTCTAAATAATTAATAACATTATTATAAATAATTATTATAAACTATTCTATATAATTAATAAAATTATTATAAATAATTATTAAAAATTATTCTAAATAATTAATAAAGTTACCCCAAATATTTATAAAATTTGTTCGAAAGCAACACAATCTATTCTAAATACTTAGTATAAATTATTTCAAATAATCAATAAAAAAATTCTTAATAATTAATAAAAATTACTCTAAATAATTAATAACATTATTATAAATAATTATTATAAACTATTCTATATAATTAATAAAATTATTATAAATAATTAATAAAAACTACTTTTAAGTAATAAAAATTATTATTTTTTTTAATAAAAATTATTCCAAATAAATAATAAAATTTATTATAATTAATAATTTAAAATTATTCTAAATACTTAATATAAATTATTCCAAATAATTAACAAAAATTAATCTAGAATAATAAAATTTTTTATAAATACTTAATAAAAATTATACCAAATAATTAATAAAATATAGTATACAATTTTCAATTAAAGGCAATCGTTTTTGTTATTTTATTTTGAAAAAAATAGTGTGCAAGACTTCATTTAAAATTATTACACGCCCCAAAGTGAAAAATCAAAAATCTACTACTTATGATTTATTTGCTCTCAATCGTTTTCTTCCGATTGCATCTGCTGTATAAACAGACAACACAAATAAAAATAAAAATTCTAATGAAAATTTATTTAAGCAAAAGGATCACTCATTCCAAACATACATACATACAGTATTAGGGGGAAAAAAGTTATACTACACACACATTCATAAATTTTTGTTTAACAATAAAATCAGTTAAACCACATTTGCTCTTTAAAGCTTCACACATTCGATGCACAACAACTCGATTTTCGCACTTAAGCAAATGGTGCACTAGTTAACATATTTGTAGATGCTTCATTCTCTTCATCACTAGCATTTTGATCGAGCTTCTCAAAGCCGCCACGCTTACTGCGATCCATCAGTAGGCCGCCCAGTTTGAAACCATCCGGCTTTGAGGGGAAATCCCAGGCATGACGACGATTCTTAACGCCAAAAGGTAGACAGCCTTAAAGTAAATACGTATATGGAAACTTTATATTAGAAAATATGTAGCAAATGAGTTTACAAACACACACACATACATTACATGGAAGGCATTGGCACAACGGTTGACTAATTCCCAATTCAAAATATATATGTATATTGACAAAAATAAAAATTTAAAAACAAAGAGACAAAGTAAAGGATACATTTAAGAAAACTTTATTACAATTAAAATTTTAAAAAGAGTCACATACTTAAAATATAAAATATATATTACTGTTGCATAACAGTAATATGTAAAGAAATATAAATTTTTTTTGTATAAATTGCCAATAATATTTTGGAATTAAAAAAAAAGTAATGACTTCCTTTCAATTAAGTCTACATAATAAATTCTTTTAATCCATTTATTTTTGGAAAATAGTGCGCTACTTAAAAATTAATTTAATTTGAGTTTAGCTGCTAAAATGAAGTACATACAAACAAAATCAAGACATGATATCGAGAAATGTAGAAAGATATAAAAAATAAAAAAATAAATCAATGCATACAAACAATTTATGCACATACATTAAGTTTAGTATGTAGAAAACAAAATCAGCAAAAAAAAAAGACTAAAATATGGAAAGGAAATACACTCCAACATCATCACGTCATTAGGGACACTCATCACAAACATTCTGACTGGAAGCGACCAATTTACGATATACCAACTCACTAGGCGGACCAACATTTATCGATTCGTTACCTCGCTTACGTCGACGGGCGATGATAAGTGCCAAGGCAAATGTTAATGCAGCAAAGAGTAGCATTAGCGATGCCACCAAAATGGCTGTGCCACCGGGATGATGTGTTTTATTTGCCGCTTTGGACCACTGTTCCGTCTCTTGTGCTAATAAAGCATCTAACGTAGATATGCTGCCATTTGACTTGACTACAACTTCATCAACTTGATATGCGGGCCCACTACGGCTGATGGTATTGACAGTAGTACTGCCGCTCACACTGTGGTGCGCCATTGGTGTTTTTGCTTCTGACATGGGCATTGATTTGGCTAAAGTTTTATGCAAGAATTTATGTATACGCATTGGATTCAATTCGGCAACATAAATTTCACTGCCATCTTTCGTTACAGCCACATCGTGTGGATTGGAAAATTGCATGTCGTTGGGTCCGAATTTCGATATGACTTGCTTTGTGCGCATATTTATAACGTAACCACGTACTTCATTGTATGTGTCCGGTTTCAAGCCCAGCTCACCGATCGGACCATTAACAACGACGAGTTGACCGCCTGCAAAATAGTTCAGAAATATTTAATATTATTTTTTTTCCAAATTTCATATGCATTTACCCTCTGCTGGCGTATAATCCATGCTAAATAAGCGATCACCTACAATTTGATTGTGATATTGTGAATGGAATGTACCGTTAGTCCAGAAGAAACACTGCACGCGGCCGTTTTCACGATCAGCCGCACAAACCAGCTGCTGTTCGGGCACCAGCGTGAGTGCATGTGGAATGGCAAAGTAATTTTTAGGTGCCACATCAAAGGAAGTACCTAGAGGGAGATTAATTACAGTTTTAAATAGTAAATTTACTGAATTTGATGTAAAACCCTGCAAATTTGTTTACCTGCAAACGAGTTTTGTCCCCATGCGAGAATTTTCTTGCCATTTCTGTCGAATTTCAAAATTCTTGCATTACAATAGCCGTCAGCAATAAAGAAATCACCATTTTCCAGCACAGCCACTGAAGTGGGCTTACAAAATTTCGAGTCGCCTGCGCCGGGTGTAAACTCCGTACCGAGTTTTAGTAACGGTTGATCATTAGAGCCGCGTGGTCCGAATTTAAAGACCTGATGGAGTGCTACATCGGTTACCCATGCGTTATTCTCGTGATCGATAGTCAAGCCATGTGGCATGTAAAATCTGAAATTTATGCATGATACAAAATTATATACTTTTTCTTTGGTATTGTTGTTGGAAAATAGTTTTGCATCTAAAGGCAAGTTTCACTTTGTGGCCTATTCATTAGATATACATATGAAGGCGTAGGTTACAGAGAGGGCTCTAAGAATAATTTTATTTACTTAGTTATATAACAAAACTTACAATCCCTTTCCCCAACCGTACACGACCTGTCCGGTTTTACGTTCAAGCGCCAACACGGTATTATCACGTATTGGCCCCTTTCTTCGTTGTTGAAAGATATTATTGTTGTTAAACGTTTGGCCGTCCCAAATGCGATCCACACGATGGAATATGACAACATTTCCTTCTCTATCAAAACTCACTGCGCTTACTGAGCCCAATTTAAGTTCATCTCCAGGCCATGAACTTTGATAAACATAAGCTGCAAGTATCTCACATACATATATACATATATTAAAGGCTTATCTAAACAATTTTTATCTATCTCACTTGTATTCAATTTGGCTATTTCGCTTTTCACATCAATTTTCTCCGCTTTCAGTTTAGGTGGCTGTGGCCAACTAATATCCGCTGTACCGCCGCCTTGCATTATTTGCTGTATGCGTTTATTTGTGCTTAAGCCCGTATCATCTTGCGACAAATAACGTTGTAGGGATAGATTCTGAAAAATATAAGCTGTAGTTAGTTAATCTGGAAACACGCGAAGTATATTTGAAGCAGGTATGTATATCAAAAGGTACACTTAATTAGCCGCCATCGGATATCTAATTATAATAATGTCTGAATTAATTGAAATACAATATTTTTACAAATAGTTCTAATTGCTGAAAAGAGCAAAGTTCACAGTAATCTTTGACCGGCAGTGGGGGTTCTTTATTACCGCGCAACAGTAGAATACTCCACCCTAATAATTCATTCAACCGCATACATATTGCATGCACTACCTTCATTCACACACACCCACGCACACACATACATACATTGCTCCACTAATTAACATATGCCAGCAAATTTTGGATAAATAAGTCCATAAAATGTCATAAATAATCTCAATTTGGCACTTCCAACTGCTTACCTCATCGGTGGCGGAGTCAGCTATGCATATTGCCAAGAATACCAATGAAACACAGCAGGTAGAACGTACAAAATTCGAAGTGATCATTTTGGCCACTTCTCTTTGTCCGATGGAGGTTTTACTTTTTCGTTTTATTTTTTATTCAGTAATATTCCAACCTTTGCGGTTGGTTCGCCTTAAAAGTATGGAGATTCGTAGGGTTAAGTACTGATCAAAATTTTCGAAATAAAATACTCAAACGTTTTACATTATTAGTTATTATTTTTGGAATGAAATTAATGCGACGAACACAAAAATTAGTGTATACGTCTGTAAACAAACGTCATTATACAAGAGATGTGAGCAAATATCGATATTAATATGCGTCACATAGTTGAAGATATTGAAGTTCAAAATTTTGTTATTTTTTTATTGAGTAATTAAGAATAGTTAAAAGCAAACTTTGAATTTAACTTTTCAGTTTGTAAATCAGTTGCATAATTAGGTAATTTAGTGATGAAATTTTGTAGAAAGACATATATTGTACTTCGAAATTATTTGCCATCTCTAATCTATTCGTTAATCGATATAAAAGTTGAATATTTCAGATTGCCACCCCTTCGACTGAAAAGGAAAAAGTTTTATAGATTTCAAATTTTATATCAGGGCTAAAAAGCATAGAAGTCATTGAGATGGGCGATGAATTGGCTAAAGATGGAGTCCTTTCACGACAGGATGTGGCTATGGACTTAGCTATTTTCCGATAACACCATGGACGAGTTATTGTTTAGGTGGAAGTAAACCAATATAAACTTACCTAATATTTTTGCTATGATAAATTCGGGAATTTGAAATGTGCATTCAGAAGGAATGATTGGCTTGAAGACTCTTTAAAGTATGGTGGCGAAAACCCATTACCTTTTTTAATTCCAATAATATATGGTCATATTTGTTATATATTTTTTATTTTAATTTATTGTACATATTTTCTTTTCCAAAGTTGTTTTCCTTTACAAGTGTTTATATGTAATTTTTTACTATACATTCAAATTTTAGTATTATATACATTAGATGATATTTCTTTGTCTGAAAAATTAATTAATTAAATAACATAAAACATGTTTTTAGGTTATGTTGAAGCATATAAAACATAGAAATGAGCTGTAAGTGTTAAATGTCAAAATGAAAAACACAAATTTTTAACATTGAAAAAAAAAACAGCATTTCATTCATTTTCGGAATACTAGATAGTAAAAAAAAGTTTAAAAAAATTAAAATTGTTAGCTATGACTGTATTGATATTATATAAATTTAGGAAATTAGTTTTGATGCTTTTCACCTAAAACTATTTTCTTACACTTTACTAATGTTTACAATGTTAAGTTTTTTACTTTTTGTTTTGTACAACAATTTTAAGGCATTTTTTATATAAATGTTTTATCTTTAATTATTAGTTTTGTTTTACATATGCATTTATGTTAGCTAGGTATTTATGTGTTTACGTTAACTGGGTACGAGTTTTGTATTTGTTGCCATTATTTCTTAAATTTCAATATATAAAACTTATGTATTCCTTTTATTTTATTTGTTACTTTAATAAGATGCGATGTAAGTATATTTAATGTATTTTTCCATTTAGTTGTATTTTATTTAATTTTTTTTTTGTATTTTCATTTATTAAACTTTTATTTTATATTTTGTTTTTGTCTTTTATTTTATTTCTTTTTATTTTGTAATTTTTATTATTTAAATTTTTTATTTTATTTTACTTTTCATTTATTTTTTTATTAGCTAATAATACTTTATTTTTAACTAATAATTATATCATTTTATTTATTCTTTTACATTATTTTACTTTACTTCATTTAATTTTTAACTTTCTCTATTTTTTTTTAATTTTAATTTTTTTATTTCAATCTTTATACTTTTAATTTTATTTTATTTTTTATTTTTTTAATCTTATATTTAATTTAACTTAATTTTGGTTCATTGTATTTTTTTCTTTTATTTTATTTTATTTTTATTATTTTATTTAATTTTATTTTTATCATTTTATTTAATTTTATTTTAATTATTTTATTTAATTATATTTTTATTATTTTATTTTTATCTTATTTTTTTATCACATCATTTATTCAACTCTTTGTTTTTTATTTTATTTTGTTTAGTTTTTATTTATTTAGTTTAACAAAATTTTGTCTGATTTCTTTATTTAATTTTATTTTATTGTTTATCTAATATTATTATTTTTCTACATTCTTTAATTTAATGTTATTTTGTATTTTATTTCTTTAATTTCTTTTTTCATCTAAATTATATTTTATATTATTTTATTTATATAATAAATTTTGTCTGACTTCTTTATTTAATTTTTTTTATTGTTTATCTAATATTATTATTTTTGTGCATTCTTTAATTTAATGTTATTTTGTATTTTATTTCTTTAATTTCTTTTTTCATCTAAATTAATATTTTATAATATAAATAAAATAATAAAATAAATAAATAAATAATAAGAATGCACAAAAATAATAATATTAGATAAACAATAAAATAAAATTAAATAAAGAAGTCAGACAAAATTTATTAAACTAAATAAATAATTTACTCTTCTTTTATTTTAAATTCCAATTATTTGTTACATATTCTTATTATATATATTTAACTTAATTTTGGTTGATTAAGTTAATTTTATTTAATTACATTTTTTTTAGTTTTTTATTTTATTAAATTTTATTTTATTTAATTTTGGCTCATTTATTTCATTATTTATTTTATTTTTATGTACCTTATTTTTTTAATTTTAAATATTTAAGTTTACATATTTAAATTTCTTTTTTTTCTGTTTTAATTTATTTATTAATCTATTTATTTAATTTTTTCACGTTTATTTCATTCTATTCATTTTACTTATTCATTTTTTTTTATTTATTTTCTGTTTTATTTTATTTTGTATTTTTTTCATTCTTTATTATTTTGTATTTAATTTTTTTTCTATTTTTTATTCTATTTAATTTAATTTATTCATTTTAGTTTAGTTTATTTCTTTTATTTTGTATTTTCTATATTATTTTATTCTATTTTAATTAATTTTTTTTCTATTTTATTTACCAATTTTTTTATTTTAACTTCTATTTGTATATTGAACTCTATTTTTTTACTATTTAATTATATTTATTCTATTTTTGCTTATATTACTTTATTTCTGTTTAATTTTTTATATGTTTTGTTATTTTTCATATTATTTAGTTTATTTATTTTGTTTTTTCTTTTTAATTTGTTATTATATTTTTTATTTTTTTTATTTTATTTTTTCGAATTTTTTTTCTACTTTAGTTTATTTTTTAGTTTAGTTCATTTCTTCTATTTTTTCTATTTTAATTTATTTTTTTCTGTTTTTTTATATTTTTGTTTATATTATTTTATTTCTATTTATTATTTTTCTCAATTTGGTTTATTTATTTTTTTAGTATAGTTTATGATTAGATTTCATTTATGTTATTGCTGATGTATGTCTGTATGCATGTGTGCATATAGATATACGTAAGTGTGTTGAATACATACTTAATATAGGTAAATGTATGTAATTTGTGTATGAAGTTGCAAAAAATCTAAACGTACGCTTTAAATATAGTTTATAAATGTGTATAGGTGTATGTATATATGTATAATTTTTATTTAGAAAACAATTGATTCCATAATTCTAATAACATATTTCTTTAGCAATAATATAATCGTAATGACAATAATGCACCTATAAGTTTAATCAACATAACAATAATATATACATATGTATGTATGTATGTATGACTTATTTGGCGGCATCAGAGATTTAATAAAAATTCTGCCTTTAACTAGTTTAACTATGTATGTGAATGTGTTTAACAATTAATAATTAAACAATTAATGCCATTGCGTTGGAAAACAATACAAATGCATAACAGTGCCATATATTATAAATTATCTGTATATACTTACAGTATGTATTTTTATTACAAAGTTTACACTCATGATATTTTATAATCTAAAAATTTTTACGATTTTTATTTGTTTTTTTTTGTTTTTTAATAATCTTACATCGATATTTCTTTAATTTTGATTCTTTATATCATTTTATTTGTATGTATGTACATAATTAATTTTATATAATGTGTTTGTTTTCTTTCCTTAAATTTTATTTATATATTCTTCTAGACTTTAGGTACTTGCAGTTAAGATTTATTTATAATACATAAGTCCAAGTATATTATGTATGTTTAAATAGTAAATTATATCCATTACATATTTAAATAAAAAATTATATGTATATGTCGAATATATTATATATTTCATATTGTGAACCAGTGATGCTTGTCTGTATTATTTAAAATTTTGTTTTAAAAAAATAAAAAAAAATGTAAAAAATGGAATAGAATATTTTTTGAAGCCAAATGTTGAATAAAAAATAATTTGCTTGCTTGTAAAAGTAAGTTTAACACAGAATTTAATGATTATGGGGTTTTATATAATAAACCAAATGTAAATAAATAAATAATTTGAAGTAAAAACTAAAAATTGTATATAAGTATGTATGTATGTATGTATAAAAAGATATTGCAATTCGTTATAATTGCACTAAAAAAATATTCTCATTTTTTACTTTCATTTAAGTGCATTAATTTCTCTTGACTCTTCCTCAAAAGAAACAATCACAACTGACAAATTATCTTTAATTGCCGCTACTAAGAGCTACTGAGAGCTGAGAGCTAGAGCTAGTTTGAGAGAATGAAATCTGATTGTTGTAAAGAGGGCAGCGTATGGCATCAACCGTTAACTCACATAAACAGTTGTGAGTTACAGAGATTGCATGCTAAAAAAATTTTGAGTTTCCGACTCGACGAAGATAAAAGTGAAAATTTCAAAAATAATTTTTTTCAAATTCCAAAAAATTTCATATATAAATTTTTATTTGTAGAAATATTAAATACACTGTCGAAAAACTATGTTTTTTATTTTTAACATATTAATTTCAAAATAAATTATTTAACATAATAGTTTTGTTTAAAAAAAATTGTTATTTGAAATTAATTTCATAATGCAACTAAATTCGCCTGCGCCGCACTCAGTAACTGATTTTCTTGCGCAACTTCAGCGTTGTCTCGCGCTCACGCTCGACAGCTAACACAGCGGCGGCCGCTGCATAACGGCTACCACTGCCGCGCGGCAAATACAAGCCGTGCGCTGCATTCGCTGCCGTCGGTGTGGGTATGCCCGATGTGGAGGCGGATGAAGCCGAAGAGGTTGTGGATGACTCAAGCATAGCGTTGCTGACAGCCGTTGAAGCGTTGCTTAAATGTTGACGCGTGCGATATCCACTGCCGCCGCCAGTTGTTGTTGCCGCTCTGTTGTTACCGCTCGTCATGCAGTCGGAAGTACCACCGCCGCTACATCTAGTGCCAACGCCAGCGCCGCCGGAGCTTAATTGCTGATTAACGTTGTTGCTGTTGCTCCCACTAGCGCCACCACTCTGCATGTTGTTGTTGTTGTTCGCTGCTTTACGCAGCAATTTCGTATTATATTCATCGCATTTGTCCTTTTCGAGACGCGTACTGCTGAGCGAACGTTTGTTGCGTTTCGTTATGCCCGTTGGTATGCCAGTGGGTGAGGCGCGGATAGCTGCTGATGTCGCTGTTGTATTTGCGCCAGCTGACAGCGCGGCATCGAAACTGCCGCGTCCGATGTTGCTATTCAGCCGGTTTGTATCTAAAGGCGGTGTGGAACGTAAATTGTCATTTAATTGTATATTCGTATTGTTGTTGTTGTTATTATTATTATTATTGTTGTTGTTATTACTAAAACTATTATTTTTATTGTTGTAATGATGACGCTGATAATACATATGCGATTTTGGTAAGGAAGTCGAGTGCGTTACTTTGGCATGTGCATAAGAGGAGGTAGCAGTGGCGCCGCTGACGTCGCTTTGTAATGGATTCGAATTTAAATCAAGTGTTGCCGAAACTGAACGCGCGCCACCACCAACGCCGCCGCAGACGCCACCACCACCCCCACCACCAGAATCTATTGGCGTACATGCGCCCGTTGCTGTCGGTATAGCCGACGCATCGCGATAGTAACGCGCGGTCACAGTAGCGCAAGGCGCTTCCACCGCTGCTGGTGCAGCGCCAGTGCGATGATAACGTATACGTGAACGACCGCGCAGTGTCATGTGATGATGTGGCGCGCGTGAGGCGGCGCCACGCGTAGGTGGTATAGTAGCACAGGAGCCTATATCACCTGCAGCGGCACCGCTTGTGACGTCGTTGAGCGCCGCGCTTGCGCGTACCACTGGTATTTTACTCTCATTTAAGCTCGCCACCGTTGAGACATTTGATGTCGAACTGATTAGCGTGTTGTTGTAAGTTTTAGTTTGTTTATTAAGGCTACTCAGCGTGGGCGCTGTAACATCGTGGTGATGTGCCTGATGATGATAATGATGATGTTGCGGTAGAGCGCAACCGCTAGTTGTTGTTGTCGTGTTGATGCTGTTGCCTGTCGTGCTGTTGTCATTATTGTTATTGGACAATTGTTGTTGTTGTTGTTGTTGTTGTTGTGTTTCCGCTTTGCGTAAGTGCATAAAACCCATTCTACGGTGTTTTTTTTTATGATGTTAGAATTTCAGCCAAATCATTTATTTTATTTTAACCAGACGCCGTTAATTAGTAGTGGAGCAAAGTAGTTTAAAGTAACCGAAGGATTTTTGTAAAATTTTTTAGTAGAGATGGCATGGAGGGAGTAGAAGAAAGAGAAGAAAGTTGAAGAGTACCTTAGGATTATTTGATTTGTCAAAGATAAGTTTTGTAAAATAATATTTTTTTAAACAGGGTTGCATTTTTCAAATGTTCTCTAGCTTAAAGTCTATCTCCCACACTCTCTATCACCAGTGATTATTTTACAATGAAAGCTTTTTCATTGCATGAAAGCTAAAAAAAAAGGGAAGTGGGGAAAACCACAACGGAAGGAGTGGAGAGAGGTGGCAGGACAAGGGAGCGGGTGAAACAGCACAAGCTACAAACATATGTACATATGTATAAACAAGAATTATGAAACTTAAAAACAGTGTGTGTGTGTATGTGTGTGAAAGAGAGAGAGAGAGAGAGAGAGAGAGATAGAGAGAGAGAGCGCAGCAATATGTACACCAGTCAAATAAATAAAAAACTAATTATAATTTAAATTTGTGTTATTTGATTTCAATTAAATTTTTTCTTTAATCATTGTATTTTCAATTTTGTTTTTTATTTTAATTATAAAAATTACTTAAATTTTAATTTAAGTTTAATTTTGATTTAAATCTCAATCCAGTCTCATTTCATCTTATTTTATTTTATATTCTTTTATTTATTTCTTTTCTAAATTTTATCTTATTTAATTTATTTTGACTATAAATGTTTTTAATTTTATTTTATTTAATTTTTTTATTTAAATTTTATTTTTAGTTTGAATTTATATTTATTTAATTTAATTTAATTTAATTTAATTTAACTTTAACTTATTATTCCATTTGCTTTATTTACTCTGTTTTATTATATTATTATATTTACTATATATACTTCATTTTGCTTTATTTATTTTAATTTCTCTTTTCTTACTCTTTTTTATTTTAATTCTTTTAATTTAATTTTATTTTATTCTATTTCATTATATTTTATTGAATTCTATTTATTTTGCTCTATTTGTATTTTTATTTATTTTTTAGTTTGTTTTTTATTTTATTTTAATTCATATTATTTTATTTTTACCTAAATTTAATGTGATTTTATTTGTTAAATTTTATCATATTATATTTTATTTCATTATATTTCATCTCATTTTATGTTTTTTAATTTGATTTATATTTTTTAAATTTTATTTAATTTTATTTTTTATATAAAATTACTTTATTTTTTATATATTTTTACTTTCTTAACTTTATATTTTTTTATTTTATTATGTTGTGTTATGTTTTTATTTTGTTTTTGGTTTATACATTTAATTAATTTGAAATTTTATAAATATATTAATTAATTTTTTTTTAATAATTTAATTTAATATATAATTTTTAATTTTTAAATTTTTAAGTAATTTAATTTAATCTTACTTTGGTTTATCTTTACGAGTATATATAGTTTAATTTGTTTTTATTTTATTATATTTTGTTTATTTATTAATTTTTTATATTGTTTTCTTTTTTATAAATTTAATTTAAATTTTATAAAAATGTAATAATTTAATTTTTTTTAATAATTTAACTTAATTTATTTTTTTTTTAAATAATTTAATTTAATTTTTTTTAATAAATAAAATATTTTTAATTAATTTAGTTTAATTTTACTTGGCACTACTTACTTGGTTTACTTTTATATGTAGTTTAATTTTTTTATATTTTTTATTTTATTGTATTTGATTTTGTTTATTTTCATTTATTTTTTTATTTTATTTTTGTTTTATAAATTTAATTTTATTTAAATTTTATAAATATATTAATTTAGTTTTTTTTAAATAATTAACTTAAATTATATAAACTTAAATTATAATTTTATTTTTTGAAATTTGTTTATTTTATTTTATGTTTTATTGTTTTTTATTTATTTCATATTATTTTCTTTTCTTTTATTTTATTATTATAATTTTTTTTTTCTTGTACTTTATTTTTTATTCAATTTTTTAAATTTTATTTAATTCAATCTATATTATTTCCTTTTGCATTTTTGCATTATTATTTTATATGTTTTATATTTTATTTTCTTTAATTTTTCATTTAACTTAGTACATTTTTATTATATTATTTCATGTTGTCTTCCATCTTATTATAATTTAATTTAAATTTAAATTCATTTGCTTTTTTATTTAAAATATTATAACTAAAAAAAAAACAAACTACTAAAGGAACGCAAGAGGATAATATAGGGATATTATTTACAAAACACAATTAGCGAAAGCAACAAAAACCACAAAGAACTCAATTGAATGCAAAGAAAATTGTCAAAAAGGTACAGCCAAAAAAAAATTAATTATAAACAGAACAAACAACAGATGCACAATTCGGTTGCGGTAAATAGATTTTTTGTTTATTAATATTTATAATTTTTTTTTAATATTTACTTTATAATAGCAATAATATTTCATGCAAAAAATGCTTAAGTATTTATAAATTTTTAATAATTTTAATTTTAGTTGCTAAAATTCGGTTGTATAATTTTGAAAATTTAATTTAATTTTCAAAATAATAATCTGGCAATAAGTAAAGGCTTTAAAAATAGCTTTTTAATTTATTTATCAGGAAAAATACTTAATTTGATGATAAATGAATTATTAGTAAAAATAAGTACATAATAAAAATATACAAATTAAAATATTAAATATATATTTAGAAAATATCATAATATTTATAAAAATAAATAGCTGCGGAAAATTTGTTTTGAACTACTAAATTTTGTTGGCATTGAAAACAAGCGCCAAATAAAAAAAATGTAAGCAACTTTCTTTTTCTTAGCTTTTGTATTTTGTAAATCATTATATATTTATATACATTCTATAAGTGTGTATATTTAATTTCAGTTTTAGCGATAGCTCATCTTATAAAAATTGCGTGATATACGATTATTATTTTTTACTAAATTTCTTCTTCAACCATTTATGCTTTAACCACATTCTTGAAATGCCAACATGTGGTGCGCAAGCGCATGTGGAGGGCGATGAGTTGGCATTTTGATATTGCAATAAATTTCGGTTGCTCTTTCTTCTTGCAACCACCATAGCGACAGTATCTATACGCAGTTTGCATTTACTTTTGCTTAGACGTACTTTTCTTATTGCTGGTAAGCGTGTAATGCTTGAGTTTTGCTTGGACTCGATTGCGTAATATTTTTGTTTATTTAATTTAGCATCACAAGTTTTGCGGTCATCTTGAGTGTAACGCTCGTTTATTCTTAAAAATTAAACCAGCCGTTATAAGACGTAATAGGCTTAAAAAATTTGAGATTTTTATTACAGAAGTATGTATGGAAATTTTTGGAAGCACAAAAGGAGGTAATATTTTTAAATAGTTTTTTTTTGTTACTAATTTTTGGGGTTTAGTTGACTTTGTATATACAATATTTTTATGTGTTATTTTAAAATTTACTAATGCAAATAACAACCGATTTATTTTAGAAAATTTTACATGTTATATTTGAATAAATCACAAATATATATGTATGCGCCTAAATCTATGCTTAATTGAAGTTTCGGAATATCTATAGAAACATTTGCACTTTTCTTAAGCATTCAAAAATAACGCTTATATGACATACTTTTAGGCGCAATTATGCTCACAAAACTTAAGTGCACAATTTTGTGAGAACGCATTGAATAGAGATGTGCGTTACTCTAAGCTGTAAAAATACATATAGACACATAAATGTAGACGAAAATTGGTAAAGCGTTTGAAAGACAAAATAAAAATAAAAGAAATTCGCTTCATACTAGCTTCCCAAAGAGCTGTCGGTTTAAATTTTCTACAAGTGAAAAATTGTTGTAAAACTTTCTACAAAAAAGGTCGCTGCCTGCTTTACTTTTCATACTAAAGATTATAAAATAAGAGTAATTTAGTGTATAATTTTTATTAGAGAAAATTCCTATTGTAGTGCTTAATTATCAAACTGTTTAAAAATCTATTCAAAAAGTGAAATTTTTTTCAAAAGTTGTATGTTTTAAGAATACATATTTCTGAGCATTAATTAATTTTTTTGTTTAAACAAAATAAACTTTTTTTGTTAAAAAGATAGCAATTCCTAAGTACAAACTGATTTTTTAAACGCAGTACAAGTACAATTAATAATAATAAATATATGTATATACATACATTACCATGCATGTACATATGTATATAAAATAATTATGTATGTACATAAATAATTCAGCTTAACTATTATTCTAAAGTGTTATTTTGTTTATTTTTTATTTTTGTTTGACTTAGTGCATTTTAAGCTTCATAATTATTAGTATTTGGCGGATGACTAACTGAAGTGGTTTTATGTTTGGTTTTAATATTTCTTGTAATTCGTCTACTTTTGCTTAATGTTAATAATGTATTTCGAATATGAATAGTAGTATTTTTATATTTATTATATTATAAGATTAAAATAGGGAATTTGGTAAGATGATTGCACAATTACGCTGCTACGAAAACACAAAAACAATTTAAAAAAATATTGGTATTTGTTTGTACATATTTGCTTTGCATTAAAGACATTATAGTTCATAAACATTTTTTGATTATTTTTTTCAGCTTAAAAATTTAAGTAGGGTTTAAAATGCTTTACAAGCTATTAAAGAAATATTTTTCATAATTTTTTGGTTTAAAAATTAAAAAAAAAACTAAAGTTTTAAATGCTTTACAAGCAATAATAAAATATAAAAAAATAGTTTTTTATGATTTTTTTGGTTTAAAATTTAAAAAAAAAAATAATTAAAGTTGAAAATACTTTATAAGCGGGAAGAATAATTTTTTATTCTTTTAACAATTAAAAAAAATATATATACGTGTAATTCTTTTGGTTCCATTTTTTCTGAACAAAAAATAATATCATTTACTTTTTTTTTTTAATAAATTTTGAGAAACCTATGATCAAATTTAATATTAATAAAAAAGTCGTAAATTTAGGGTTTTAACTAAATGCTTATAAATTAAAAAAAAGACGTAAGTTTAAAATTATAAACTATAAAATGCTTAAACGTTTGCTTATGTAAAAAATTTTCTTTTTTAATTTATGTAAGTATTTAAAAATTTTGAAGAATTCAGTTCTTAAAAAGTTTAATATATGTATCTGTATAAAATCATAATTATTTATTATTTTTTTACTTTAATTTAATTATTTTTCAACTGCTTAGGATTTGAAAGTTAAGTTACGAGGTAATATTATGCTTTAAGCATTCTAAAAATGCAATAGTTGCAAATATTGTTTATTAAATTAAGCAAAAAATAATAATAAAATGCTTAAAGCATTGTAAAAAAATTATTTAAAAATAGTAGCAAAGAAAAGAAATGTATTTATTAAATATAGATAAATGTTTGTAATAAAACTTTGAATTTTTTTAAATTAATTTTAATTAATTTCTTGGTTAAGGAAAGATTTATTATAAGAAAAGACATGCATTCAATAAGTCATTTAGGCATTTTTTTGTTTCAAAAAAACTTAGCAAAATAATTTAAAACATTCAAAAACAATCGATTATTTTTCACATTCTAAAACGATTTTTTTACAAATTCATGTTTTTTTTTTGATGAACTGTCTTCAACACGAAAATAAAAATAAACTAGCAAATAAATGTCAAATGAACGATACATACAACATCAAAGCACAGGCAAGTGTATACTTCGGAATTTTGACGCATATTTTTTGGATATATTAGTAATTAAAATAAGTATTTAGCAGGGAAAGCGGTGCACAATTGAGGTATTTTACAAATTGGTTTCTTACTGACAACAACAAATTTTATTTTACATTTTTTTGAAATAATTTTTACGAGCATTTTTGCGTTTGCTGCCGATAATATTTGGATTTTTACGCTTATTTTAACTGGTTTTTTATTTTATTTGTTATTGCTGGTGGTTTATGATTATTTTTGTTGTTGTCGTTTTGATTTTTTCATTTAGCCTTACGACTTACCTCTTGCTATAGATAGCCAAACTGCGCGCACGCGTTGTCACACTACCACCACCACCACCACCAACGACACCGTTGCCACCGCCAGCAGGTAGGGTTGCTGTTGTTGTAGCTGTCGCCGTTAGCGTTGTACCACCCTCGCCACGTGTGCCACCAGTACCAATACCGCTACTTCCTGCCGTAACTGTTGTCGTATGTGTTGCTGTTGTTAGAAGGTTAATGAGTTTGTTATTAGTGCGTGTGTTATAATGATGATTGTGGTTATTGTTATTGTTATTGCTAATGCTATTGTTGTTGTTATGATTATTATTATTATAATTGGTGTTAGTAAACTGTGTATGTGTGTTATAAACAAAACGATTATTACAATTGTAAATATTTTTGTTGTTCAACGCCGCTGTCGCTGCCATCATTGCTTCGTGTGCCACTGCTGCGGCTGTGGCTGCCGCCGACGCTGCTGCTGCTGTCGCTGCGGCCATCTCATGACAATCTGCCGATCTTAATCCGTGCGGTATAGTGTCTACCTCGCCAGAAGTTCCTTGTGTGGCCGTCGGCATTATATTGGCAATGTTGTTGCGGAAAGGTTGGGAGCGAGCACGTAGATGACGCTCGAAATCGGTGTTGCTGAAAATTAATGCGGAAAAGAAAAAATTATTATAATCGCGTGGCGAAAATTCTGTTATTTTAAAACCGAGTTCATACAGGAAAGTCAGTCGAACTTGCTGCGCGTCCTCCTAGGATCTTTTCAGTATTATAAACTAGCGTCCCATAAAAAGGAATTCCTGATTGGAACCCGTTATTTAGTCAATGGGACTGCTAGGATCAAAAACTTTTCTACGAAGGTAAACAATTTAGATTTTAAGCCCAGAGCTAAGCTTTGAAGAGCGGGAAAGCCAAAATTAATCAATAAAGTAATGTTTAAAATTATGCCAGTTTATATCTAAGCCGGAAAAATTATACGTCTTCATGACGTTCTACAGAGCAGAAGTGAGAGTCAAAAGACTCTCAGAGCTTCCTAGAAAACGAGCTGCTTCGACTGGCTCGGACGAGAAGGAGATGGGACGCTTATCGGAAGCTGTACCGCCATCTAAGCATATCAGGAAGAGAGTATTAGACTTCAAGTACTCTGTACATCGCTATAGAATTGAAGCTTAAGATTTGTCACTGAGACTATCGAAGATATATCTTCCTGGGAAGGTCTCAATATGATTTCCATAATTAATGTTTTTTCGTTAAACTATATCTTACCCCAAGAGATATCTCTACTCCCCTCAATTGTTTTTTACTATTTCCTTTATCTACTTAACACCCCAAGCATGTTCTATACCGTTCCCAATATTTAATATTTCACTTCGACTTCACTTACTATGATGAATTCCCATTGTTGCCGCGTGAGTTGTGCTGTGTTCCCATCGGCTGATGCTGTTGCTGTTGCTGTTGTTGCGCCAATTGTTGCACTGCTGTTGGCTGGTGTGTCTGCTGTTGGTGTTGACGTCGTAAAGCTTTTATCTGATTCAGTTTATCACCCTGTGTCTGAGAGTTTTGCTTATCAATGGCGGCCTGTGTCATTTTAACGGTAGATGCAATAGTCGGACGCTGAGCCGCCTCCAAACCTATACAGGGTTTTTTCAATTTCTTTTCAGCATAAAGCGGCTCTGCCGTGCTGCCACCTGCAGGAAGCACACGAGTCATACCTTCACTCGCCGCGATGGGTGGTGTGCGTCGCACCGGCGGCGTAGGTGGTTTGGTACTCTCGGCCAGCGAATTAGCAGCTGCGGCGGCCAAAGTGGTGCCCACATGTATTGTTGGTGATTTGCGGCGACGTGTAGTTGCAATATATGTTGCATTCGAATTATCCGTATTGTCCTCATCATCACCATTCTCTTCGGTTATAGTGGCATCTTCATCGCTGGCGCTACTTACGTTCGCATTACGAGTATCGGCCGAATTGGTTTTATCCTTTGAACGCCGATTATGTGCTGCAAATGTATTTGTGTTTGTTGGTGTTGTTGTTATTAACGTATTATTAGCGGTCGAGTTGTTTGCAGTGGCGGTAATGGGTGAGCGCGCACGCGTCAAAACACCTGCCTTCAAATTTCCATTCGTCGATATTTCCTCGTTATCATGCAAATGCATTGTGTCCACCTTCTGTGAGATGCCTTTAACACAATTCTCTTTTGGTTGCGTCAGCTGCGGTACGCCGCCGGTGGAGAGTACTTGTTTCAGAGCGATGCTGTATATGCCATACTTGTGTATGGGACAATGCGAGCCGGAACGTTTGCGCATGCGTTCGCCTTCAGCCCAAAGCCACGTTTGTTTGCTGTGGAGAGATAAGAGTAAATATGTATAAATATATATCTGAAAATCAAATTTATGTATACTCACTCTTCCATCCACTGTTGTTGATGTCCAATAACGGAACCTGGTCGACACAGTCTTAACCAGGCTATGGCTTCCAGCGCCGAGAAATTATAATGTTTCATTATGTAGGCACCTATAAGGCTGCCAGTGCGACCAAGACCAGCTGAAAAACAATGAATGCATCTTTAGAAGTTTGTTTAGCCCACAGATGGAAGGGGCCTTATCAATGTAGCGTGTCCCTTTTACAAAAAATATAGTTCCGCAATGGCAGGTGTTATGTCTTTGAAGGCTTAGACTAGGTATGAAGTTAATAAAATCATCTGTAACTTTAGTTCAGAAAAGGATTCTTGGAGGCAAACTTTGTAGGACGACATGCACAAAATTTTAGAATTCGGAAACTTTGGCAAAACTTCTCTGATTTCTACAAATGGAGCATCTACAATCTAAAACTTACGCAATCCAACGGAACGGTTCACATTTCCTACAATTTTGGATTACAGCCTGGTCAGAGCTAAACCCATTCGTAATGCAATCGGGTCTAGGTGCCATAAATGACATTTCAATCAGAGTCTACAAGCTCGAAAGACGTAGCTAAAAAAGTTGAAAATATGTACCAAGACGGCAATACCAAGACACACGGCTCTATGTACTGGAAAGTTGATCCAGATCACTCAAAAGGTGTTAATCTTCTGAAATTCCGCCATTTAGAAGAGAGTCGGATCTACATACTGGAACAATAGTTCCACAAACTCTCACATATGTTCACATGAGCAATCAATCTTTCAATTTCCACACACACATTCACAAGCCACACGCACACTCACCTTTACAATGCACCGCTATAGCACCCTTGGTATTCTCGCATATGGAGAGGAATTTCTTCAATATCAAATCACTCGGCGTACTACCATCGATGAAAAACAGATCCTTATGATCGAAACCGGCATTTTCAAAACTCGACGCATGATAAACTTTCGCATTCAAACGTATCACAGTGGTCACATTATTCTCATGGAAATATTCAAAGTAACGTTCGGGCGAATGACATGGATAACCGTTGGGCAGTGTTTTCGACTTTTGATGTGGTCCACAGAAAGCGATAAATTTCTGCGGTACAATCCAATTGAAGTCACCATTCTCAACACGTTCGAAATATTCATATTCCTCAGCGTCGAAATCATCGAAACTGAAGAAACCAGCTTTCAGTGCCTTATACACCGCATTCAAACAATCGATAAGGGAAATTTTATAACCACTTGGCCCAAAAGAGGCATCACAGAAACGTGTGTAGGCGGGTATGTCGCCAGCGACTAGCGGCCGATAGGCATCCATCGGTGATTTGTTTAGGTAGATGATCTGCGAGTATAAAAGTTGAGGGTAAAAATTATCAAAAAATATTTGAATTCATTTACAGCTTTCGAAAGACTCACCGAATACGAACCAATCAAATAGGCGGCATTTAGACGCTTCGACGCATTGAGCGTTGTATAGTGCATGATTTTTTTGTTGGCATGACATTTTGCGGTCAATTTGGAATTTAGTTTTTGGCAGTACCTATAAAGCATGCAAATATTTAACGGTCCAAAATCATTGTAAAAATTTTCATAAATATATTCTTCATCTATGCTGAAGTAGTGTGTGTTGGGTGTGCTCTTTGGTTTGATATTCTTCTTGAATGTGACAAAATACAAGCGATCTGCAAAGAAAAAGAAGGAGAAGAAATATTGAAATTTAATAAACTGGTCCATTATTTACTGTTAAAGTCATCAAATTACGATAATGTTTTTTATTTTCTTTTAAGAAGCGTTAGGTTTGATCGTAACGGGCAATTATTGACCTTCCACGATTATAACTGAACCGTTGGTCGTATTTTTGGCTACAGCTCTCTCTGTATGTAGATTGCAACTAAGATTAGGGATCTGCTCGGTTATTGGTCCAGACTCGGAGGGCTCATAGAGGGTGTATATTTAAACATGAGGTTTTCAATAAGAAAATAAATGCTTTTAATTTAGTGTTATGGCCAAGAGATTAGCTTTAATAGAAAGGGATTGTCGTTATGTTTTAAAAACGGTTTCGGCAATGTGACCGCTACGGCTGACTTGAATGAATTCCAGCCGTGAAGCCCAGCTTTGGACCACTTTTTGCAGTAATTGGAGTCCAGTAGCAGCAATAACGCTTGTAATATTCTCTTCCAAAATGTCCGACTGCTCATAACGCCATAAGAAAGAGTCCAGCGGTGTTAATTTGCACGATCTTGAAGGCCATGTGACAGACCCGGGACGCGATATAATACGCTCACCAAAGGTTTCCTTTAATAAATTGATTGCTTCGTTGGTTATTAGGCATGCAGCGTCGTCTTGTTGCAACCGAAGATCGTCCACATCAACATTTTGCCATTTCAGGAACGAAAAGGCTCTATAGCGCTCCCATTGATATGTAACATTATGACCGCTTTCATTTTTGAATATTTTAGAATTATTAATTCCTCCTTTACCTACAGACGACACCAAACAGTGACTTTTGATACGTCTCAACAGTGGCTTGTTTATTATCATCACTCCAACTTGGACAATTTTGTTTATCAACGTACCCAACTGCACCAAAAGTGTGCTTCAACGCTAAACTAAATTTCCATGTGAAAGTCGGGCGTCGTTTTGGGCCATAGCACCGAACATACGACGCGAATTTTTTAAGCTCACAAACCAAGATATTTCAGTTAAATTTTCTACAAACTAGATGGTCACAGCTTCAATTGTTGCGCACGATGGTGGATGGACTCATTTGGATCTGCTTCGTTACTCCACTTCTACAGCAGCAATAACGTCTTCAGTTCGCGCTGCACGATGTTTCCGAGGACTTGTATTATCCACTAGAGTAAACATAGTGCGAAATCGATCCTTGTTGGCGCGAATAAGTGACTCTGTCGGGCGATTATGTCGTACCAATATGGGACGCAGCGCACGAGTTCAGCCTCCGCTCACTATGAAATGGCAAACCACAGTGGGTAAAAATCAAGCAGCAGCTATCAAAAAGGCCAAAACCGAAAGAAGTAATGTATTATTGAAAACCACACATCTAAAAAAACACCCTTAAAAAATTTTCCTCTCTACGGTCCGCCACAAATGACAGATAATAGTAAAACCACAGCAGATAAAAAGCTCAGAAGTGCAAATCTTTGTGGTTTAAACTAAGTAAATAGCTTATGTCTACACTCCTAAATACTTGCATACACACAGCGATACATACTCGTATGTATATGCATGTATTTATATAGACGTAATTGATTAAATATGCTGCAGCATAATAAATACCTAAAGCCGATTGGCTTTTTGTCGCGAATTACATATATAGTTAATAGAATGGGCATGAGCATGGCATGGTATGACATTTTTTAAGCCTTGTACAACATTCATCCGTACATAGACTCATATGGCAGCCAATATACAGTGATGACCTTGAATTAAAACAATTAAGAAAAGTAAAAAACAAAAAAAGTTTAAAGCTACTCAATAGAGCATAGAACGTGAGCGCCCACACAAGCACTAAGTCAAAAATACATACGTAAATGTGTGTACATATGTATATATGTATATATTTTTTTTTTAAGCGTATATACCAACAAACATTTCTTTGAACAAATTGCAAAATTGTAAACATAAAATCAAATTCGATTGACTAGAATTTGTTAGCCGGCAAATATGCACTCGTACACACACACTCACAAACATAAATACAAATCCGCGTACGAAAACATGCAACGAAAATTTATTGCTTACGAACTTTGACAAGAAGTTCAATGTTGTTCGCCGCAAATGGCGTAACATGCAACATGCAAACGATAAACAACAAAAAATGAAAAAAACAACAACAAAAAACAACAACAACACAACAAAAACACAACAAAAGATGCAAAAAAGCAACAACAAAAAAACGAAAAAAACACCAACAAAAATAAATAAATAAAAAGCGAGACCAGAAATGAAACTTTTGCACTAATAGTATGCATGTATGTATATATGTATGTCCATATTTAAATATGTACAAATACTTTAGTACTTTATATAAAGTGCAACAAATTCGCTTAACACGCACACAAACACAAATAGCGCACGAACAGCTTGATTAAGGCGATTGATTGTGAATCGAAGAGGCAAACCGAAAAATCGCAAAACAAAAGTTGAAACAACTGCAACTAAACACAATTTTGGTTTATTAATGCATACACTGATAAACAATACATATTACATACATACAAACAAACAGCTAACTGCCGTAGATCAAAATCAAAAGCTTGCTTATACCATACTATATACATATATATATATATATATATATATATATATATATTTGTGAATGATAGTTTACCGGCTTAGGAGCAGCTTTCGTATTTTACCCAACAACCCAACAACCCATCCCCCCACCACGATTCGTTTCGAAGAAATAAAATAAAAATAATAAAATCGTGATTTATTGGTGCGAGTAGTTTGACAAAGTTCTTTATCCTCTGCCATTTTGCTTACAATTAATATGACACTCTAAGTAAAGTGACAGATTTCGTGGTAAATGGAAATTAATATTGAATGGAAATAAGAAATATTAAACAAAATATTAGTGAAATGTGCTCGTCTTTCAAATTATGTTTTTCAACAAATTGAGATGGACCCAGAGGCTATACCAAGCCACCTAAGTATAGGTGATAGATTTTTATGAGAAGTTCTTTTTTTTCTCTTAATTCTTTTTTCGATAATTCTTGGTTGTTGGTTGGAGCAAGATTCGAGTCCTAGGCTTCCAAGTGGTAAGGCTAATTACTGGGCTATTGGGGTAGCATATTTTTCTGTTTCTACTGACGCGTTTGCAGCCGAGTTATCAACAGTCCTTTCTATTTTCACTGTCAATGATGTCAATTGGAAAATATCGAGTGTAGCCACTTGATCTTTCCAGCGGATTGAAGGTATTCTTCTTACTTTGCATCCACCGACGGACGGCTACTGCAACGAAAACATTGGGGCATTCTCAACCATTCGAACCATATGATTTAGCCAGCGTTGCCGCTCTCTGTTCCATCGCTGAAATATCGCTTGCAGTATTCGTACAAACGAAAACTCCTAAGGCTGACTCATCAGCTGTTGTTATCGTTCAGGCCTCTGTACCATAAAGCAGAACGGGAATTTTTATTGAGTAGAGTTTGGTTTTCGTTCACCGGAATATTTTTTCCAGTACTAAATTAAGAAGTCGCACGATCAAGAATTACCCTGTCTGACACCGCGTTTGATATTAAATGGCCCGGAGAGGCCCTCTCCGACACTATCGGAGCTTAACATCAGTCTACATAGCCGTATAGGTTTTTCAGAAACTCAGACAAAGCGGCGTATATGCAGCTCCTTTTCGTACTGTTGAATCAATCCTCATCTCACGAGTCTTTTCCAAGATTTGGCGCATGGTGAATGTCTGCTCAATAATGGATTTACCGGGTCCAAAACAACACTGATAGGTTCAATCACGGTGGACTTCAGTCTTTCACATAATACGCCCGATAGGGCCTTATGTGCGATATTTATGACGTTAATCACACGGCAATTGACGTAAACCAAGTAATGCTCTTTTTTTATGGATTGAACAGAGCACGGATAGATCCAAATCGCTGGACATGCTTCCGCCCGACCATATTTTGCAAAGAAGCTGATGCTGATGCGTGCACCTAGTCAGCTTTTCACTGCCATGTTAGCTCAGCCGTCAAGCCGACGGCACTAGACGCTTTACAATTCTTTTAACGCGGGATAAATACGAATAACCCTACAAGGAGTTTGTGAAGAGGTATTTCGGCTCAGCTTGACGCTGTAAAATAGTGCTTAACGGCGGCCTCACAGGTCCTAATACAACCTATAGCATCATGAGTTACGGTTTCAGTATGTAGACGTATTGTTTCGAAAGTCCAGCATAGTTAGATAATACTGCCTGCATAGGGTGCCTCATTCGAATCGAGTATGCCGTCCACAAAAATTACGGTATCTTCTGAAGATTCCACCTCCAACATTGGCGCTGAAAAACATATAATTTAAATGACTACATAATAAAGCGCCCATACAACTGATTTGATCAGATGTAAAGTATTGGGTCAAGAATCCTTCGAAAGAGAATCTGAGGGCGAAAAATTCGGTATTCTACTCATATAAATTCAAAAATAATTGATAGTGAAAAGTGAGCTTTGCATTTCATTTTGCAACAAAATTTGATAAGGTTATGAGGAATATAAAGGCTTCAGTGTGGCACTTATTTTTCGTTGATTTCTAAGAAAATTTGATTTTTTATTCAGCCGTCAATTTGACAAATTTGTATATCGACTTCTCTTATGCGAAATGATTCTAGGCAGGGTGATAGTTAAACTTTTTTATTATAATGGTTTCAATAGTTTTTATTGGGAATTCAGGATTTTAAGAGTCAATATTTCATGGAGTTGAGAATACGTTAAAAATTAGCATAATTCGAAGCCCCACTGCGTATACGTAACTTTCCTGTAGAATTGAATGAATATTACTTATTTAAATTAACAGAAAATTTCTATGGAATTTATATGGAATAAAAAGCAATTTTCATTTATATAGACATGTTCTAGTATCTACAAGAGACTCAACGCTCTGCAATGCCTGCATAACGTGTAAATGTGACTGCACTCAGGTGCGCAGGCAATAATTTTCG